ATATTTATATTTATATTGCATTTACATCCTTTTTTTGCCATAAATTCAATGGTGTATCCTTTAGATGCTGATCTTTAAAATAAAATATAAAAAAAACAAGTGAATGGTTTTTTAATAAGAGCTTTTGATCAAGTTCATTTTAAATGTAATAATATGAACATTTATATTTTAAAATAACCAAAATGTCCCAGCTTCATACCTTCAAATCTGGAAAAAATACCCAACCACAGAGCAGTAATATTTGTGGTCTCTCACAAGCAAAACAGGGACATGAGTGTGCAGAATCACCCCCTGACAAAAAGATCCAAAAAGTTCAATCCAAACTTGGGACAAAGTTGGTTCTTACTAATTTTATTCATCTGCAAGTGTTAGAATAAGCTTGTAAATCTGTGTAACAAACCATTACACAACTAATTCCTCAATGAACATGCAGTTACTTACCCCTGTTGCATGTCCTCATGGACTTCTATCATTAACTCGTATGTAAGAAGAAGAAAGCAGATTTGCTGGCTCACATGAAAGTACTATCTAACTCACCAACCTCTCCTGAGTAACTATCTACTGTTACAGATGCTCTGGGAGAAGGTCTGTCTGAAGCCAGCAGACAACTCTACCATATTTCCTCTGGGAGATGGCAGCAGAAAATCACTAAAGAACTGAAGAAACAAGCACAGGAGCACTGTAGGCTCTGGGGCTGGCTGTACTGTTCAGAAGAGCAGAGCCAATAGGGCATCTTAATTCCTACAGGAAGGGATACTTCAGCTTAAGAAGAGATTCTTCAACTTTCTGGATCAACCACCTTCTATAAAACTTCAAAACTTCACTGTCTTTATTTGAAGACCATAAAAAGGTATTATAGATCTAATTGCATTCCATGGAGCAGTTATGCACCATGTAAAATGCTGACTGCACATGGCCCAGTTCCCACAGTTCAGGATTCACTGCCTTGGAAAACTCAGCCACAAGCCCAAAGAATTTTCTATGGTGGTATGAAATGGAAGGTAAAAATAATGCATAGAAGCCTATTCATCACTTTGTTTCACTGATTTATTTCTGATGTCAATAAAGGATAACTATTCTGAGATAACCTTTCAATGTTGATGTTCTCGTATGTACCGTACCACTGAGGAATTAAACTGTAAGCCCTCTGTGGCATCATTCTGAAAAGCACTTATGCTATAAAGCAATAGGCATTGCTACTAGTGTCACAGGCTGTGGGTAAAGCATTACTCACACTCTGGATTGCCATCCAAATCTTTGGTGCCACGCTGAAATACTTCTCCTGACGCAGGATCTACACACCAAATATCTATGTTGGATCTCTGTAGCACAGCATATTCTCCTGTCTACAAAGAAACAATTACATGTCATTGCAGAACAATGCATATTAATACAGACATGCCAAAATGGATACCCCAAAAGTTGGTTAAAATATTTGATTCTATTTTTCCATCAGTACAACATGTTGAAATAAAACTGGAATAGGCACTGGAATAGGTTGCCCAAGGAAGTTGTGAATGCTCCATTGCTGGAGGTGTTCAAGGCCAGGCTGGACAGAGCCTTGGGTGACATAGTTTAGTGTATGGTGTCCCTGCTCATGGCAGGGGGGTTGGAACTAGATGATCTTATGGTCCTTTCCAACCCAAACCATTCTATGATTCTATGATTCTATGAAACACATAATATTAAAATTCAATCTACCTAATGTAATGCACACAGACCCTATTTTGGGATACTTGCATTCAAATCCCTTTCATCCTGACATTCTCTCACAGCTCAGGAAGAAAGAGCTCCCCGAACGTCAATCAGTTAAGTTGTGCCTTTTAAGCTTAGCCCTACAAAAGGACTAGGCAGAGCCAACCTGTAGGAGGGAAATGCAGGCAGGGACAGAGCTTTCTATGTCCAGTCACCATCTCAAAGCTATTTAAATTCTGCCTTATGTAGAGCAATGCCTGTTGTTAGCTTTGATTTATCCTTTTCTTTCAGGTTAATAGGAATGCACTAAGTGATGCTTAAGGGGCATAGACTGAAACTGTGTGGGCCTTTGGCCTGGTGTAAGCAAAACCAGGGAGGCTTTATTTCTTCCTCCCTCAGTCAGGTTAAATCACCTCAAGACAGTAGGGGACAAACAGATCAGCTGTAGGGGCATCCAGATTTGAACTGCTCTGTCTCCAGCTGGAAATTAAGGCATTGGTTCGAGAGCGCTGACATGATGTCTGGCCTGTAAGAGAGAAAACACCCATAAAACATAAAATTTGTTCTTCTTTTCTTGCAGTGGTTAGAAACCAGCACTGCTTCATGCAGGCATATCATATTAGAATTGCCAATAAACATTAAAACAGGTAAGAATAAATATTTAGAAAGAACAACTGACATTTAGGAAGTTCTGCTGAGCGTGACACCAAGGAATCCATGACATAGCGTCCTCTCTCATCCACACACCAGCAATGACCTGGCCAGGGAAGAAAAGCAGCTTTATTTTAGATACTGTACTGCTTTGGGAGGATTTTCATCCTCTGCTGTGCTACAGAAAGTGGTCAGTAAATCTAAGTCACAGTTCACTCTGATATCCAGAGATAAGCATACCACACCTGAGAGCAGTGGTGAGAATGGAAATGTAGCAGTTCGGGTAAGACTCTTTCATTGCATCCCGATCCTGCAGCATATCACCCACAGACTTGCTGAGAGTGCACTCCATCTCATCATCCTGGTCACTAATGAAGGCATTAAGCAATACCAGCCCCTGAACCGACCCCAAGGAACACTACTAGCACCAAGCAACTGAACACTGACTGATTTTTGAGCCCCAATATGCTGCCACTTAAGTCCCTCAATCCAGTCAATTTTCCATCCACTTCACCCCTCTCTAGTTTGGCTACAAGAATACAGGTTTTCCATGTGTTGTATTAGAACTCTGCTTAGCTTTTCTTTGTTCAAAGCACCTTGTTAGCAATCATTCACCTGTGCTCTCATAGCACTGCGTTGGCTCCCAGTTCCCCAAGCCATCACACTGTGGGATGTAAGGAAGAAATCCCAGCTGAGTTGCTTCCCCAGCAGAACCTTTTGAACTAAAGCGATTCCTCCAGTAGAAATGCAAGACTGTAAAAGGTAAGTAAAAGAAAGCTGTTAGTGGCCAATACGAGGTATTTTAAATGCATGTTTGCAAACACCTGTATGTTCCCTGCACTTCAGAAGGCAAATTAACAAGCATGCAAGGACATAAAGGCTGGTAAGTGTCCAGATCGTATATATTCATCATGTCATATATATAAGGCAGCTGAAATCAGCTCTTGGGTTGGCAGGTTAATTACACTGATTAATTATATCTGCTGAGTTGCACCTGTTTTTCAGCACAATTCCATTTGACACAGAGTGGTCTTGCACACATTCTGGGCATTAATCCATCTAATTAAGCTCTCGTCTCTCTTCCCCCTACCTGACTGTGCAGCCAGCTGGAGAGCAGAGTCACTGCCCGATAACAGCTTCTCAGAGACCACCACCTCTGACTTGTAGGGTTGAACAGAACGTAGGAGGTCCCTGTCTGTGAGCTGTATTCCCTTTGCCAGCAGAAAGCTCTCTCCGAAAGCAAAGTGGGAACGGTTTGATGCCAGGATGAGCTGCTCTGCCTCTTCCATAAATTTCATGGCTTCTTGCTTAACACTTTCACATACACCAGGACCTATAGGACCAAAGGGTATATTAATGCTTTTCATCTAAATCCAGTAAAGATTTGCATGTGAAAACTAACTGGTCTTTTAATTAGCATCTTCCATTTCCTTCTGCACTCACTAATATGCATTATATTTTGAAATGCATAATGAAAGTCAGACTTGAAAGCCATTTACATCACAGAGTAGTCCTGAATTTTCCATAGAACTCTTCATGCACTGTTTCTAACTTTAAAATGTCCTTTGACATCTGGATAAATATCTTCTTCAAAAGCATTATCATCTGTCCAAATTACAAAGTCTACACGAACTTGATATGGGACTTTATTCCTCCTTATTCCCGAAGCTGAGAGACCACTTATTCATCCAAAATAAGTAACCCCACCTCTGGTGGCCAGCGGCAATAGCAATATTGATGATCTTTCTGACAAGTATCCTACTTCACAGCAATTGAAAGGACTTTCTTCTTGTGCCATAAAAGCAAAGACCAGAAACACTGCTACTTATGTGCCAGAAATTCTGCTACTTACATGCTGGGACCTGGTTCACATCTGCCTTTGTTCCTTGCAGCATTTCTCCTTTGCTATCAACACACCAACAATCACGAAGTTCAAAGTGGCTTAATGGAGCACTGAAATCAGTATAGGGCCCTGGGTAATAGGTCAGCTGCTCATCCAGAAGCTGCCAGAATATATATGGATCCAGTAAAATGTTCTCAGATGCATAGGTCAAGTTTCCTTCCAGCACTTCAGGTGGGAGCTCAGTGAAGGAGGAATACGTGGTGAAGGCTGGGAAGATATTCTGGTGCCCAGCCTCATACAAAGCTTTAACAAAAGCTGAGAAGCCTTTGGAAGATGCCTCTTTATATCCAGTTATGATGCTCAGTAGATCAGCAACGGGCAAGCTTTTGCCTTCATTGTTCTCTGCAATCCACCTATCGTACCACTCAAAGGCTTGCTCAGGAGGACCACTGCACTGCACTTGCCTCCAGGCACCCTCAGCATCACACTGAGGGAGGTAAGCGCTGTAGGGCTGAGGCAGAGCACTGGGATCTGACAACAGGAGCCTCACAGCCTTTAGAAACTCCTCACCAGCTGTTACTTGGCAAGCACTTGGGCCTGGGGAAAGGAAAAACACACATAGCACATCTTATGAGTGCACTGAAGATATACAGTACCACCTGCCCCCTTAGTACTATAAACACTAAAACTTGGTCACTTATCCCAGTACTAACAACCACGTTTCTAGTCTGTTACTAAGAAGGCTAATGCTATCAAGCATCCTTGATGAACCAGGGTAAGATTTCCCAAGGCATGTGAGCACTGAAAGATGCATATAAAAATATTTGAGCATTTTAGGTGCCTGCAGTTCCTACTGGGGGGAGATAGTTGCTCTATGCCACTAAATGCCTTCCTGAATTTGTTCACACGCACAAGTTATTTTCAGATACGCTTCGTAATCCACTAATTACTTTTTATTCAACAATCTCTGCAAAAGCAACAGTTTGAATTGTAGGATGATACTGATTTTATTTCCCCTTGGACCTAACCGGAATTTTCAGATTCTGTTGTCTTCTCTTCCTATTCCCTACTGAGTATTGCAGCTGACTATAAAAACACCATCCCTTCAAAATGCCGGAATGAGTTTGTTTCCAAAGCCTTTTCTGCCATCTCCAGAGCCAAATTGCATTTTGCCACCAAGGAGCTCTACAAAGCTAGCAAAACACAGAAGCTGATCTCCTTTTTGGCACCAGAGAATTATGAACCTGTTTACTTTCGATTGCACTACAGATGGGCTGCTAGATATAAATCCCCTACCAATTGAGATCATTGTGATAAACTCCCCACTAAGTCTGCAAACTGGTACTCAAAGGAGCTCCTTCGCTCTGTACCATTGTCATCTGCTGGATACTCTTCTATTCCTTCCAAAACAAGAAGCAGGCTCTTCTCTTGGTCTGTTCTCCTTGTTCATTTGCCATTTTCAGTTCACAGAAACTTGAAAGACAAATATATCCAGCCTATGTCCTTCTTTCTTCCTTTGTATTACAGTAATAGAAGGGCAAGAAAAGGCAATTCACAGTCTGTAAGCAAGTTGTGATGCCAACTTGATGTCTAACAAGTCATTTTCAACTCACTTCTCTGGCCTGACTGCATGACCTTTATGAGAACTGATTAGCCTTTGAATCCCTCTCCTGTGTTTGGGCTCCTGTGACATCGTACTAAGTTGAGGATATATTCTTGACCTAAATGACTAAAAAAGAGTTATGGTTTAAGGCACTGAAGCTCTTCAGTTCTCAGGACAAGGATGAGTCAGTGACCATGCCCAGGTGACTTGGTCCTACAAGTAAAAGGGCTTTTTCACCCAGTGTGGGTCACATTCAGTCTCATGAGCACCATGGATGTTATACACACTCGCTATGCACTTAGGTGGATACATATGCCAATGACATGCTCATTTACAAGGCAACACCTCAGGCTCCTCTGCTTTGAGAGTGCCTACCCTATGCACTGAAAGAAGAAGGAACCATCCTTAAGACTTTGGATATCAAGGTTTACATACACTGTATTTTCCACTATTCCCCTGCAACTGCAGGGCTGACTTGCTTATGCCCTTCTTAGGGGACAATATTGCTTCCATACGTCACCCATACATCTCCAGGTAAAATCAGTTATGAAGAAAGAATGGTGAAATCCCACCACAATAGGAAGCATCTTTTAATTCCCAGTCCCTAGGACTTACACTGCATTGTCTTTCCAGCTTTTCCCCTTACTCCTGGAATAGTCTTGCCATTCAAATCAACACAGAAGCAATTCGTCCCATAACACTGGAGTGGAAGAAAGTCTCCATCCTCGGTACAAGAGGGAATAAAGAGATCCGATCCCGCAGGCAGGCTTTGCTTCAAGTTTTGCAGGTTTCTCCTTTGCTTTTCACAATCAGTGGGACACCTTGGACGTTTGCCTTGAGATCTTGAGCCTGGAATTTCCTTACCTGAAGTGTCCAAACACCAGCACTCTCCTGCATAGCACTGAATTTCCTCATACCTCCCCTCCTTGGTGCATGTTGGAACAAACAGGTCCCTTGGCTCCTCGCTACAGTCTTCAGACCCCAGTGCAAGTTTCACTACTTCACCTAAATCTTCAGCAACGCTTCTGGGGACAGAAATCATTTGTTGAAGAAAAGTGAAAAACTCTGGCAGTTCCAGAACAGAGGAAAGGAATTTCATCATATTCTGGTTGTCCTGTAGAACTACTGTGCGGCCAAAGCTGCCTACAAGAGGTTTACTCAAAATGGAGCTCCCCTTTGATACCTCCAATGAAAACGCCTCAGCTGATTCTGGAAGGCTTTGGCCGTTATCCCTCTCTGCCACATCTTCCTCTGGGAAAAACTGGCCAATGTTGTACTTCCCACTAGTGCCAAGTGCCCCTGTGAAGTTAAACTGAATCAAATTCTTCAAGAACCTTCCTCCAAAGAGGTTTTCTTGGAAACGCTTTGGATTGGTGGTAGACTGCAGTGCCACTTGAGCCAGTTCCCTTGATGGGAACATCCCCGTGATGGCTTCACTAAGGGTGGTTTCTAGCTCAGGAATCTGGCTGACGTACGGGCTTTTTGCAATGGGCAATGACAATCCAGAGTCCAGAAACAGCTCCTTGAAGGAGGGAGGGCAGGGTCTTGAGAACCCAGATATTTCTTCTGACTGCTTATCTGGTGTAGAAAACAAATTGGGCTGACTGAAGTAGCCAGCAGGGCCATAGAAGATCCTCGACAGGGCCCGTCGCCTCTCAGAGATGCACACTTGTTCTTCACCTAGACAAAGATTTTGAAAAGAAATAATATAAATGCACATTCTCATAGAATCATAGAATGGTTTGGGTTGGAAAAGACCTTAAGTTCATCCAGTTCCAACCCCCTGCCACGAGCAGGGACACCTCACACTTAGACAGTGTCGCCCAAGGCTCTGTCCAACCTGGCCTTGAACACTGCCAGGGATGGAGCATTTACCACTTCTTCAGGCAACCCGTTCCAGTGCCTCACCACCCTCACTGTAAAGAACTTCTTCCTTAGATCTAACCTAAACTTCCCCTGTTTCAGTTTAAACCCATCACTCCTTGTCCTATCGCTACAGTCCCTGATGAAGAGCCCCTCTCTGGCATCCTTGTAGGCTCCCTTCAGATATTAGAACCTCCAAGCCCTGTAACTCTGTGGCCATCTTTCAAGCAGTCTTTATGTGGCAGAAACCACATAAAAGTGTAATTTAACTTGTCTCTAGTTCCTCAACTATGCATCCTGCACATTGATAAGCAAATCTGAACTGTTGCTGAATATGGTCTATAAACAAAATTCTCCAGTCAAGACAGAAAATATAAGGAAATATTCCTTCACCGTGTCTGAGTTGTCTGCTCTGCAGCCTTTGTCTGGTTCTATTGTTGCCCAGTGTAAATCCTCATTCCTGTTCCTGTGGCTGAAAGAATAAGTAAAGTCTTCTCCAAATACTTTAACTCTCTGGTAGGATGCCTGCTTCTAATGAAAACCTCTGATGACCCAGGTTCAACATGTGAACCTCAGAAAGAGAAATTCACTGCAGAAAAACAGGAAGCTATTTTAATCAGTGCCCACTAATGAGGAACTTATGGAAGCTTCCTACCTAGGTCTTAAGTTTCATTACAGGAAGTGTTCATTACAAGAGGTTTCAAAACAAATCATTGAATTTAGCAGTAATGGAGTGCTAAGAACCAGGTGGCATTTAGAAATGAGTGCTAACAGGAAAAAAACACAGTTTCAACAGAAACAGTCAAACGCCAGGGTACTGAGGGTACCAACAGTACCACTCATATTCTAGCCCAAGCTATGCCATCAGCATACCTGCATCCAGCCCATCTGTATGTTCACACATCATAGTAATGCCTGCAAGTTAGGACTGAACACATCGCTGAAGAAGAACATCTGAAAATGTCAGCTGAAGGCTCAAAAGACATCAAAAAAGGAAAGACTTGGTAGATATAAAGGCACTGAGAACCAGACATGACTGGTTAGGGGCACTGACTCCTCTCCAGAACGCAGGCAGCAGCCTGAATCACGTGTCACACGGTTTCCTTGAAAAATGGGAGAATTATGGAAAAGAGATGCAAAAATATTTTGAGGACAGAACAACTTTTCCAGTAGGAGAGACTGTTCAGCTTGGACCAAACAAATAATCTAACGGGTTTTAATAAACAGGATTCTTCACATCATTCAGAATAGACAATTGTTATTAGGTATTTCTCACATTATAGGAATTGGAATAGGTCAGAGGTAGAGCACATAATTATGACCATGAAGTGTATTGCCAGAGGATGCTTGGAGGGATAAAAGGTTAAAGGGCATTTAAGCAAATGCCTGGAAGATGATGTGCTGAACACAACGATCTGGATTCAAGCCTCCAGTTTGAGGCCTTGCCTTCCTGCAGGGGGATATATGGAAGCTATATGCACTTCCCATGGTTCTCACGCTTTCTCCCTAAGCACCACCGCGGTCCTTGGCCTCCCTTGGGCTCACCCACGTCACCCCCATTTACTCCACGTTTAGTCAATATGATAAGGCAGTCACAAATCCTGTTAACAGTAAGGATAAAAGCAGGAAATCTTGAAAGCCGTTAAAATAGATCAGCAGGTAAATCTGAGACTCTATAATCAGCACCTTCCTCACTCCTCCTTTTGCACCCTTGTCCTGCTCTAGGGTTCCTGGCTGGGGCTCAGGGTGCCTCACAGTGGTTCCTTTGTAAAGGCATTTTCTGTAGGATAGGCCCCTTCTGTTTCCAGCTCTTGGTAAGAGGGATGAAGAACATTCCTCTGGGGACCAATAAGTTAGGGTAAGCCACAATCCCACAAGTAGACTAATACGAAGCAAATGTAGGATCACGGTCTTTAAATGCTCTCCCCTCCTACCCACTGTTGAATCAAATCAAAGCATAGGGAGAAGGAATAAACAGAAAAGCACTGCTGGGGTAAATTTACTGTAAAAGGTCTGAAAAGAGACACGTCCCTCTCAGGATTGCCTGATGCCTCAGGCCATGCGAGTACCCAGCGTGCTACCCACACCTATACCTCCTCCTCCTCCAGTTTTCACGCTGCTGACTGTGAGAGCCAGAGATATTAAAGAGAAGTAAAGCAGCAGACCTGGAGACACGCACATGGCAGGGAGCTGTCTGTACAGACTGCAGCTATAGCTCCATGAAACAGCCTTCTCAGGAGCCAGTCTGCAAAACCTCTGCAGAAATGTTTCCCTGCTTAACTTTCCTGAGTCCGCCAATAAAAGCTACAATCAGCCCCAAGTCATTGCTCCCCCCCACACCAAGAAAATCATCAGGAGGGCTCAGCAAAGCACATTCGAAGAGAAAACAACCCATCCCAACATACGGCGAGGCCCCTCGGAGGTTCTCTCGCAATACCCTTGGTGATCAGCCTCGGAGGCATGCTAACGTTCTCATTTCACAGTAAGCCTCTTCAGAGCACTCCGAGTGACTTGGAGCATGACACCCACAGTGGGTTCCTCCTCCTCTAGCTGCATGGTAAGACTGCGTCTCACAGACAGAGCAATTATGTTCCCCAAAGGCAGCCCCTGTGTTAAGACCCTCTGCCCCAGCCCTCCAGCGCAATCCTGAAGATTTAGGTAAGCACTTCAGAGTGAAGGTTTTTAGCTTTCCTCCTCCCCTCTGGCCCTTGGACATTTCTGCTGTCATTTCCATTAGGTGCACTGATTTGATGGTGTATTCTTCATGAGATCTCTCAAAGCCCCAACCCGTACACCTTTTTTGAACTGTCTGGGGGCTTGTTTTTTTACTGGATTTAACAATTTTGATGGCCAAATATGCAGTGTCAGAGACAAGGAAAAAAATGCTCAGGATGAGAGATGCCTTAGAAATTCCATAGCATTTCACCAAAGGACAGAGCTAAAACCTAAAACCACCATCACTGGGTCATCCCAGATATTCCGACCTAACACCCCACCTCCTGGACGCAAGAGGCAGATGTCACAGCTGCAAAGAAAAGCCTTGCAGTATGCAAAACTAAAAGGTCATAAAGGAAAATTAATGTGATATTTAATAATTTGTTAGAATGTGGCTTTTAACCCCAGGGAGGTTTTCATATGTCAGTTTTTGAACACCAGAGCTGAGAAGGGGACTGGTCCTTTGAGTTTCTTTCTAAAGCCATCAGGAGATGAGCTCACTTTTCCAGACCTCACACGTACCACAGGCAGGGGGCTGTCCTCGTCTCTTTGTGCCCTGGATCTCTTGTCCTTTGGTGTCAGCACACCAGCACTGTCCTCCCTGCTGACACTGCACTGGCGTGTAGCCCCCATCAGCATCACACGACGGCACATAGACGTGCTGGTAGCGCAGGGCTGTGTACCGCTCTGCCTCACACTTTGAGGGGCCTGAAAGGAAAACAGGATGTGATAAGGAGGGAACGCTTCTGAATGCTGAAGTTTCAGACCCATCTCTGCTTGATCCCATCATTTGCCTATTTGGGAGAGAAAAAATAGGAAAACAACTTTAATTTCCTGCCTATTTTCAGTGGCACTTGCCAGCCCCAAATGCAAATTCTCCATCCTTTTTTCCCCTGGACAATTGGACCCAGTGTTTTCTACTGTAGGTGTTCTGTTCTGAAAACTAAACAGAAAATAAAGCCTCAACACATTTTTCAGCCATAGTGGCAGGCAGAGCAGCAGCATCTCTCTCAGAGAGCCTTGTGGGAGGCTGGGTGAGCTCTGTCCCCTAATGCAAACGCAGTGCTGGTCAGCAGAGATAGATGTGCAGCTTGAGAGACTGAGATGAAGGCAAACACCAATGTTTCTGAAGAGAATGAGGCACTGCTCCTGCAGAAGGATCTGCACTTGGCTGGGGAGATTTTGTCTGGGACCACCCAATTTCAGGGATTTGAAGACCCTATTCCTGTCAAACTGCCCTTCATGGCAGAGAAGCCAAAACTCCATAAAGCAAATTTTCTCCAATACTGCAACAGAAATCTTTCTTGTTTATATGAACCTGCAGTCCAAAAACCTAAACGTTTGTCACCTTCAAGAGCTTTCCAGCTACATTCAGCTACCAGCTTGAGGCACTAAGAGCATCACATCAGAGCAACCTGATCACCAAGGAAACCTCACAACAAGGAAGCCTAATGCGTGTGGCTACAGGTGGCAGTGGTTAAGTCACCCCCTCGGCGGCTGACAAACGTGGTCACATCTCCATCTTGTGGCTGTTACAGCTTCACCTTTGCTGGCATCCCCAGCTATAGTCAGAGCTTACTCAATAGCACTTAGCAGGGAAGCAGGGAGATGCTTTCCAGATTGTCCCAGAACAAGAAAACCCCTGTGACTGTGTGGCTGGAAGACTTGCATCGGTATCTACTTAATACCTCTGGTCATGCAACTCCCTAGAGAGGGCCAGGCAGCAATGTCAGAGGAATTTGGATGGGAGGATGAAGGATCACACCACAGGGCTCAAACTCTCCCCAGCCAAGGCATTCTCTTGGCCTCTGGTGCAGAAGAAGGAGGTACCCGACCTCCTGTCACACAGAGTTCATTGTCCCATAGAAACTCCCCAGTTACCTGCCCCGACCAGGGAGGGAATAGACCCAAGGGCAGCTCCAGAAGTCCAGCGTTGCTGGCTAAAGCACTATAAACTCTTCGTGCAGCCTTCTGGGGATTGAGTGTGTTTTTCTCAGTGGAAGATCCTTCCTACCTCTGGGTGTTCCAACATAAATTAGGCAGCATTTTCTCAGGTTTTTCATTTAATAAATAACCAGATCCATCTCTATAATCTCAGGGCAAGTGATGCTGGGAATTCGTGGGATTTCAACTAATGGGAACTTCAAGTGTATGGGAAAGTGCTGATCAGAGGCCAGGTACAATCTCCTGGTAAGAATATACAATACAAAGGTTACAGCCAGATGCAATTCAGGGGTCTTGATTCTTGCTCTGAAACACTGATATCACATGCTTGTAGTGCAGGAGCCCCCTAAAGCAACTCTTCCAAGGGCAGCTGCCACACGTAAGTGCCAAAACTGCCACTTTCTTTACAGGGCATCGCCTGGGTGCTACTTACATCTAAACTTGCCAGAGGTAGCGAGCTGCACCCCCAGAAACCGCCGCTGCAGGATCCGGTACAAGCTGCTCTCTGTGAACGTGCGGGCAGGCTCCAGCGCAGAGAAAACTGTGTCGTAAACCTCATTGAGCAGCAGTTCCAGGCCTGGGAAAGAGAGACTTTAGCATAGAGCCTGGTTTCAGACAGAGAGAAGTCACCTGCTTTACGTGAGAGCAGCAAACCTATCAGGAAAGAGAAAACTAGACATCTAAACAGGCCAAATATGAACTTACACTGCACCATGCAGCCCACTGCTGAATGCCCACTTTACACCTTGATGTCTATCAAAACAAGCAGGAGGAACACCCTGTGACTGGCACTGTGCTGTGGTTTTGTTAGGTTCAGTCTGCAATGGAGTAATTGATGGAATTTTGGAAACTGATGCTACCAAAAAAAGAAATTCCCAATCATTTTGGTCGCATACCAAAAATCCCACATCTGCGGTAGTTGCCCTGAATGCATAAACGTTTTGAGAACTTCTCACCCTTGTGGGAATTGAATGTTGAAGTTCTCACCTACCACCTAAATTTTAAGCGATCATGCTTTGCATTTTCCAAGTTTTAAAACCATGGTATCTCAGGAAGAGGAGCTGGAAGTCCTCGACCTCCTCATTCCTCCTTCTTGGAAAAACCATTAATTCTTGCAAGGTGTCCCATCATTATTAGCATGCCTAAAAGATACCCTGGGGCTGTGAGAGCAAAGGAAGGACCATCTGATGTCCCTGTCCATGGCATTATGACTAGATGATCTTTAAAGATCCCTTCCAACCCAAACCATTCTATGATTCTATCTGAGCAAGAAGAAAACTGTTCAGTCTCCAGGCCCTTTATACTCCCCTGCATTTGCTAACTGGACTTACTGAATAGGACACAGCTTTCTAGTGTGGGCAGAGGTTGGACATTCAGAAATCCTAATCCACCATCTCAAAAAGGACAGGATTAGCTCCCATGCAGCAACTCCACTTGCTGAATGAGGCATTGATCCTAAGGATGGGATTTCATTAGGGTGCTCCAGCCTTTCCTGTGGTCACAGTGGTCTTATTCCTTGTAAGAATGAAACTGAAGTGGCAAAGAATCTGACAACTGATACTTGTTATTTGTCCTTTCCCTTGGGAATTCAAAGCCACTCAAGTTAAAGGATCAGATGCTGGAGGGTACTTACCAGTGCCTGCCAACTCCCTCCCCAGGCTGTCCGCACAGTAACAGTACCCAGAGACCTCTGGGAACGTCTCCCGCAAGGAGCTGAATGTTTGGAAAGCCCCTGGGAACCTGGAAGGGAAAGCAGCCTCCTGTCAAGAGCCTGGGGAGGGCTGTCAACAGCAACAAAGCATCACTTGTGTTTCCCTCCCAAACTTGTACAGCGAGGAAGTCAGCAGAGCACAAAGACACTACAAAAGCCTTTGGTCTCCTTGTGGTGACCAGACATGATCCAGATCGATGTTTCAGCAGGGTAACAAGTCTCCTTAATGCCATTCTTTTAAATGAAAACAAGACAACCTCCCTCCATATAGATTTCTGTCCCTTCCTAAGTAGGTCCCCAGCATCTGACTGGGTACATCTAACTCATTTTCAATTCTATTCTCATGCTTGAAAGCCTGTCAGACTATTAAATAGACAGAGGTTGGCTTGATGTGACACGGTTTAGTGGTAGACTTGGCAGACCTGAGGTTAAGGTTGGGCTTGTTGATCTTAAAGGTCTTTTCCAACCTAGTTGATTCTATGGTTGATGTCATTACAACACCCGTTCATTATCTCCTTCCACAAATCTTCAGAGGATGGCAGAATGCCTAAACGAACAGGTTGCTTCCTCTTCCCTACATGCTACGTATGCTTTCTGCACCGAATTAAGTACTAAAGCTGATAAAAACCTCATGAATCTTTTTCATTTTCAGAGCATGGCTCAACAGATTCAGGAGAAAGGGGTTTTTAAACATATTACAAGTAAAATTTGGCTCTTACTTCTGGAGATCATAGAGACAGTAGTTTCCAATAATATTCTAGGAGCAACAAGAGCCAGATTTAGGAAGGAAACTTAATAGGTCGAAGTTGGAAAAAACATAATAAATGTGATCTTAACTGACAGACACTCCAGGGTTTCTCCAAGCAAGCAGAAGATCAGTTGTTCTAGATTCGAAGTGCCAAGTTCCAAACCAGTCATATTATTTTACAGACATATACCCTGAAATATGATAAAGGCCTGGTGTCCAAGCTGCATGTGGCTTATTTGGGAAAATCTAGCAAGTGGAAAGTGTGATTTTCTGTGCAAGGCATTTGGAGAATTACTTAAATTCATTTTCTACCAGGGAAGGACACTTAGCAGTTAAGACTAATGGTGGATTAGACCATGATCAGCTGGGAAAGAGGCTAACTTGTCTTGCTCTGCCACCTTTTGGCAGCAGAGCTGAAGACGTTACTGCTTCCTCAGCACACCAAAGCACAAGATGGGGAACAGAGGAAGCAACATCAGCCTCTTGGAGAGGAAGAGGTTGGTAACCTCCAGTTGTCCCAGTGTTATCCTGTCTCAGAGTTTGCACATCCCTGCATCGTGCTGCTTCGCTTTGGCACTCTTCGATATCTTCAGATTAAAAGCCCACTGACTCCCTCCACTTTGGATTGTCAAATCCTGCTCCACTGCTGACACTGGCATGAGAAGAACTATCAAAATGTCATACTTCAGGGCACAAAGGGGCTTCTGCCAGCACTAAAACAATGCCTTTTGAAAGATAAATACCATCTTTCTACGGTCTTCTATGTATACATGGACATAAATAGCTCGGGATATTTTAAGAGCTTTCGACTCCCTTGAATTATGGCTACTGCCCAGTCAGGAATAGGATCTTTTCTCTTCTTAGAAGCAATACTCCTTATATGCAAAGACAGATCTCTGCACTGCTCATGTCCTTGGAGCTCATCACCTCTGCCTCAACCTGGACGGGTTTTTGAGCAACCTGGTCTAGTGGAAGGTGCCCTTGCCTGTGGCAGGAGGGTTGGAACTAGATGATCTTTAGGGTCCCTTCCAGCCCAAACCAGTCTGTGATTCTGTGATCTAGCTGAGTGAAACAGGATGCAATGAGAAAATTCTTCATGCTGCTTTCTTGCATTCTCAACATTAAGAATTCACATGCATAATTACACTACTTTTTGCATGGGGCAGATGTGTAGTCACATCCTGTCATTCTGGTTATTTTTGTTCCAGGTTGAGAGCACAGCTAGATAAAGTACAAACGGGTATAAATTAGGCCCACACAAACAAGAGGACAGAACTTTTCTCACCTTAGCTGGGAAATCTCACTTCCTACCACGTTTTCTTTTCTCAGCCTCTTCTTAATCACAGCCCTTGAGACGAGTAGAGGTAACACAAAGTACCTCATCTGTCAAACCCAGTCCAAAACAATGGCCAAAGCAAAGATGGCTACGTCTAAGTTATAGATAAATTTATAGTGTATCCGTGTGTTTCAACAAGAATTCTTGCACTTAAAAATATGGGAAAGTAAATAAATGTGAGGCTGGTGACCTTTTCTTCAAACTGTGAGTCTGTGCTCTTGGCCTCCAGTAAAGGCAACTCATCACTGATTATCAGAAGCAGGTTTGCAAGTAACCCTTTCTGTGTCTCATATGTGTAGCTCAAGCTACTGCTGCCTTTCCCATTGACTACTCAGAAATCCAGGGAGAAAACCAAATCATGTTTTTTTCCCACTGCCAATGAAAAAAGACATAATAGGGCAGAACCTTCAGTGAGCTGGATAAAGACACTGACACAAGGTCTTCAGTCTGATGAAAATTAGAGCAAGACAGTAAAAAGATCCTCTTTGACTCCTGATTTTTTGATCATTCCCATCAATCTGCTTCAGGGTTTCCTATATGGCTGCCCATCCAAGTAGGACCCTGGCACAGCCTGTATAAAACAAGTAACAGCAGCCAAGTTACTGGGGTGAGGCAGGAAAACTGGGCACATCTTTCTTTCCTTCCAAAAGTCTTCCTTTGGGAAAGGTTTAGCTCCAAGCTTCTGAATTTCTCCTGTCCCCTTCCCCCTTCCACCCCACCCCCCTTTATTTTTTAACATACTAATTTACTCTGGAATATTTGTGAACGTTTAAGGAAACAATTTGGGAAGGGAGTTGGTGCGATATGTCTACATTTCAAACATCAGTCTGTGGAACCACAGAAAGTTGCTCCACTTGCTCTACATGAACATAAACCACAGGTTTAAATCCCTGCTCTGCTATAGTCTTTCACTGTGGAACTCATCCCTTTAACTCTGTATTCTGACCTCCTGCTTATGGGATGGGATAATGACATTTCAGGCAGGAATAATGCAAAAATAAATACATTAATGACCTGAGATGCTCAGATACGATGGCAACGGGTTAAGTCAATGCCATAATTAGAAAGGCAGACAGCTGGGAGTGAAATGACCCTGCTGTGATTAATTACATGACATGGACAGAAGAAAATGCCACCCTCTTGGGTCTTTGCAGACAAGTCTCCCAATGGAAGAAAAAATGACCATTTAAAGCACTGCTTTCTCCTCAGCAATTGCTCTTTTAGAATTTCCACACTCCACAGGCCAACAAACCCAGCAGACGGATTATTTTGCTCCTGCCAAAATAACCTCTCCTGAAGCTCTGACAAATGTGCACTGTGCACTTGGGCCTGCCTTTCAGGTCTGCTTAAATTAAGAAAGAAAATCCTCAAACCAGCAAACCTGCCATTTACACTAAAACGCCTTTGCTGCTCCTGAGCCAAGTCAGAACGAGACATTACGTTTACTCCACTGCCCTCCACTGGAGAAATGTGTTGACTGAGAGGCCAAGATTAACAGCACTTCACCAGGGACCAAAAGGTTTCCCTGGGAAGTCTGAGCATCCTCTCCCTGCAGTTCCCTTTGCCCAGCCCTTACTTCTTCACCTGAACATTAATTCCCAGTTCCTCCACAGGACAAGGATTTGATCCAGTGTTTTCCAGTCCTCTCCAACCACCCAAAGCCAGTTGCATGTCAGCACACCCATTCATCACTTGCTGATTCACCTGCGTGAACAACCCTGGCACTACCTAAATGGATGAGAGTTTCCCATCGTCACATGGAACTTGCTCTTTGCATGTTGCCACTTGTCTGTCAGACCATCTGTTTTCATCTCCCACATGGAATCATCTTTCCTACTTCATATTTACACCTGAATTCCTCTGTTCCTTGTGCATGTCTCATTTGCTGTTGTGTGTCTGTCTGAAAAGTAGCCCTGGCTATTTTTCCAAATACAGATCACAATGTGTTGAGGACACACTAATTGAACTTCAGGGATGAAATAATCAGATTTTTCTAAATGAGAAAATTCAAGTCAGAAGAAAAGGTTTTTACTTGGTCCAGTGACTAACAGGAAATAGCATCGTGTGCAGTCACAGAAGAAAGGCTCCTTGTGGGGAAAAAGGTGCAGTAATACAGTGACTTGAAGAGGTATGCAGGATTGTTTCCGTGTTCAGAATCCTGTGCTCTTACTTGTTGTAACTATGAAGGAGGTCAAAAAACATCATGTCTGTTGTGTTGACAAACTTGCACTGGACAGGCAGAAACTCTCCGTCTGCTGAGCACTGTGGTGGGCTCTTCTCCCCAAACCCGTGCAGAATGCGGCGGTCTCGGATCTCACAGTTCCCTGGACCTGATGGCAAACAAAGGTAACATTTATTGGTGTTTTAACTTCCCACGAGCAGCTGAATAGCCACCCCATGGTTTGGAAGGGGGTTAGATTCATTACATTGAATGTGGACACCTAGGTGCCTTGTATTGTCTTTAAGAGTAGCAATGAGTTGGACTTAGTGATCCTATGAGTCCCTTCCAACTTGAGATATTATCATAGAATCATAGAATCATTTGGGATGGAAAGGACCTTGAGATCATCTAGTTCCAACCCCCTTGCTATGGGCAGGGAAATATTCTATGATTCCATGAAATAGTGACTTAAATGCCTCATTTAAGCACTTATACTTCTATACGATAAGTGTAGGCTGCAGTGTCCAAGCTCCTGATCTACCTACCACGTTTCATGCACATCAAACCTTTCAAACCTACAAGCCCCATCATCTTGTTGAATATTACTTACACCGCCTTGGCTTTCCTTTCTGCCTGGTGCCATAAATCTCCATTCCTTCTGGATCAACACACCAGCACTGACCCAGCTCTGTGTCACATTGCACCACATCAAAAGCCCCTGAATCGAGGCACTGAGGGATGTAGGAGATGCTACTGCTGTTGATGTATCGGCTCACCAAGATCCTCTGCTTCTGCAGCTGGCAGAAGGATAAGCCTGTAGTGTCAGAGAGGGGCATTGTTAGAGGAAGGTACTTGTTGGGCACTGAATAATTTATTAAGACATCAAATGAACTTTCTGAGAGCTGCAAGTTCTGATTACAACAGAGTCCATCAAAGCCTGGGGCTAACCTGTCCTCGATTTCAGCAGTTCAAATGCAGATTTAAATGGTTCTTTACACAATCATCTGAACAAAAATAGAAGCTTGTGACTTACAAGATACAGGATATCCGCTCTGTTTGCTACCAGGTACCTCAATGCCATTCTCATCCACACACCAACAGGAAAGACCATTCCTACTGCACTGTACAGTCCTGAAGGAGATCACAAGCAACTATTTTACTTTGCTAGTGACAGAGTCCTGAATCAGTATGGGACAGTAACAAAAACATACAGCAAGCCAAGCAAGTTCAAGTACTTTAACACTGCAAATAATGGAATCAGAAAGGGCTGTTTCAGGTGACTTTAACTCTTCCTGATGGGAGCTCTTAATTCTAGTAATTCTGTGAAGGAACTGCAGGTAAGTGACTTGAAGTCAGAAGCAAGCAGGTTGGATACAATCTGGATTCTCAGCATTTGAGATGTACTATACATTTTGAGATATTTTCTAAGTCAAATGTAGAATGGTCAAGGCCCCTCACCTTGACAACAGTAAGATAGTAGTAGAGAACATTAGAATCTGTTCCCCAACACAGCCTCAGCTTTAACTCATTAACATCTTGCATCTCCAATCAACACGCTGCTCTCTAAATCACTGCTCTCCATGGGCTTTTTACTGCCTTAGAAGGAAACCAAACTGTGTCACTTACAGCAGAGTGGAAAACATCTCAAGTCACCTTGGCTCAGCTGTGCCGGCCAGCACACTTGATCACAGACCAAGCGCCCACAAGCATGTGTAGGAAGACACAGGTACACAACAACCTTCACAGGGTATTTAACACGCAAATAATGTTGCCAAGATTAGCCTGTTGGTGTTCGATTGACCTCTAAACCCAGACATTATTTCCAGTAACATGGAATTCATTCAAGAGAGGCTGGATCTGCAACATGGCTCAATGAAGTCACTTTAGTCTCCTGCAGCCCTCACCATTCAGTCCACCAGTACGGAGGCTCCTCAAAACAGAGGCTAAAGCAAAGCTTTCATTAGCAATGAAAGGTACATTGTGTAACAGCAGAATAAAAGCAGGGATGAATTACCTGAACTGGCCATCTTCTGAGCACTGAGGAATGTAGCTTTCTCCTTCTAAAAAAGCTTTTTCCCTCTGCAGTTCACATGGACGTAATGGTTGGGATTCTGTCTGATACTCTGAAAGCAGCAAGAAGGGAAACACGTAAGGGTGGTTTCACCACAAGCCTGTTCTTATCAAAACCCTGTTAGTGCCAAAGCTGCATGATAACAGCCCCAGGCTCATGGGTCCTCCTAGTTGTTTCCCCATTGATTGCTGGGTGCATTTCTGCACGGGGCTGCACAGGGGGATACTGAACAAACTCACTGGTCTGCCCAGCTGCAGGATAAGGACAAAATGGAGATGCTCATGAACCCTTTCCAAGGCTTCTGTTTATTAGTCTCAGCTCTGTTCTGTACTGGTATGACTATCATTTTCTGGGGTAATTCACTTAGAGTTTGTTGCCCCTATCACCACAAAACAACTCTTTGCCATAACCACACACATCACCGTTAGTATTTCTGAGTATTTATTCTTTATTGAAGCTAGGTAACTCTCTACTCCACCAAAAGGAAAGGTATTTTTTCCTAATCTCATGAAAGACTTAATAGGATCAATGTCTAGCAGTCAGCACCAGAATAATTCATATTAGGAGCACTTCTCAATTTTTACCAGGGCAAGTGATAAACTACTAAAGCCACCAAGCAAGAAAACAGTTGACTTCAGTTCCTAATGAATTCAGAATCACATTTGGATGCTATTTCAGGAGAATGATGGAATTCAGTAGGTTCTTTTTATAGAGCAGATTAGTTGATCTGACACTTCTCCATCTTCAAAATCCAATGAATGTCATGGTCTTAATTCCACTGACTAGTTCCGTAAGAACACAGCAAACAAACAAACCCACAGCTACAGCAATTTAGACCAAAGAACACTTTATCCAGTATTTGGTCTGAGCATGACTGCACATAGCAGTGCAAGCACATAAGTATTCTGAATACTTTTCAGCCTCCAGTAATTTGCAGCTTAGAGACTTCTTGAACCGCGGATGGCTCCTGACCTTCACATCCCTGCAGCACCACCTTTTCTTACCCGAGCTCCTTCCCTAGCCCAGCCCGTTCTTCCAGAAAAGCTTTTTCTTTCCACCCAAAATCATCAGATAACCCTGACCATTTAAAATCCTTACAGCTTGGTATTTAACCCAAGCTCAGTTCGCACAGCACACAATAACTAGCTACGTCTGCAGAGTGTAAGATTCAAGATCATTAGTACTTCTTTGGGATAACATACAGAGCAGCACAAAGATCACGGGGGCACGGCCACACAAAGGAAAAGAACAAGCATACTCACCAAATATATTGCCTGCTACTATGCTAATACAGCAGCAAAGAAGGGTGCAAAATGGGATGGAGCCCATCTTGCGATGGGAGAGCTCCATCCCCTTTGTGAGCACCACAGCCCTGCACACCCCTTACAGGCTTCCCCTGCCTTTTTATAGCAGCCGTCCTCGGATGGGTTCACTTCTGCTCTGGTGGACTGGAGATGAAATCGGGCGAGTGACGCATATGATGCTCCTGAGAAACCCACAAGAGGCCCCTTCACCCGGAACAGCCCTCGAGGTGCTCGGCAGCCAGCCCTCATCCCCGCTCCAGGGAGCACTGCTGAGCCCAGTCACTGGGAGGAGAAAAGCAGCAGCAGCAGCACAGGGAGTGGCAGGGGGACCTGCTTAAATCAACATGCACATTGGGCGTATTGGGGTGACCCTGCCTGGAGCTCCGGCTCTCACCGAAGTGCAACCAGACTTTGTATTAGAAGTACACTTCTTTGTGTTTCTGGAGAGCCTAGTCTGGGGACAGGGGATAGGCAAGAGTTAGGCCTCCGAACAGCACAGCACTAGGAGTAAATATAGCTCTTAAAGTGGTTGTTAAGTGAAAACCAGGAGGGACACAGCTCCCCTGACTATGAAGGGAATTGAGGGTCAATAAATTGCATTCATAGAATCATAGAATGGTTTGGGTCGGAAAGGACCTTAAGATCATCTAGTTCCAACCCTCTGCCATGAGCAGGGACACCACACACTAAACTATGTCACCCAAGGCTCTGTCCAGCCTGGCCTTGAACACCGCCAGGGTTGGAGCATTCACCACTTCCTTGGGCAACCTATTCCAGTGCCTCACCACCCTCACTGTGAAGAACTTCCTCCTTATATCTAACCTAAACTTCCCCTGTTTAAGTTTAAAGCCATTACCCCTTGTCCTACCACTACAGTCCCTAATGAAGAGTCCCTGCCCAGCATCCTTGTAGGACCCCTTCAGATACTGGAAGGCTGCTATGAGGTCTCCACGCAGCTTCTCTTCTCCAGGCTGAACAGCCCCAACTTTCTCAGCCTGTCTTCATACGACCTTCTGGTTTTACTCCCACTTGCACCATGCACTTTAATAGAGTCAAGTATCCAACAGGAAGCAGCTTAGCTTCTTGGGTTTCATCCTCCAGGTGTAATACCAGACATCAAGCATGTCAATTCCAGCTTCCTGGTACTAATTACATGCAAGATTCTCAACCTGAAACACATCAGAACTATTATTTCCTTGGTTCCAGAGTATGACTTCTCACTTGTCCACCTCTTATGACTGTCAGTTTGGATTTACTTGCACCAGGAACTAGGAGAACTCACCCTCACTTGTGCTAATGTGGTTGGACAAATGGGCCTTGAATAATAAGCCAAATAACAGCAGCACACCCCTGAGGGAGGTCTTAGGCTGATTTCAAGTGAGAGCAGCACTCTTGCTTGTGGTTCATGGGTACTAGACAGAAACAACTCTACTGATGCTCTCCTATGGACCAAGATTGTGCCATCAGTGATCCAAGCATCCTTTTGTGTGGGCTGTAAACCACCGCAGTGCTACAGGGTCTGATACATAAGGGAAATGTTATCTCAAACAGCAGCATCAGCTTGCTTTAGCATGAGCAGCCTTTTCCAAATGCAGGGGACTATATCTGGATTTTACTTTAGAGCAGCCTACTCTGGGCCTGCAGAAAAATCAAGCTGGGGAAAGATGAAGAAAGTGTCCAGTGTAGATGACAGACCAAAAAAGCAACCTTCAGAGGCATAAAGACAACAAATCACATAATAGCACTGATTAAACAGGCACAGAAAGAAAACGAGTTTCTGGAGTAGCATAGCATTTATAGGGAAATGCACATGCAGAGCAAAAGAATCTGCCTATACAGAGAATTGCCAGCATTAGCCATAGGGTGGCTGCAGCAGGAAAGATGCTTGGCCATGACATGTATTTCTGTCTCAATTATGTTCCAAGAGTCCCTGGGTTGTGTCTGACCCCCAGTGCAGTGGGGTACTGACAGGAGCGCAACCAGAGACAGCCCAGCCCCATGCCATGGGCTCTCCAGAGCAGCAGGGTCAGTGATGTTTCCAAAGCACTGGAACACATACCCAAGGGGTGTGTGTATGTGAGAGAGACCAATTTAGTCCAGTATTCTATAGTTAGTATAATAGTGCCATTCAGGTTCCTTATGCAGCAAATGAGGAGTGAAGCGAGCTCTTAAAGTAGCTCCTCACTTTCCTCCTTTATTCTTTGCTAGGTCATTAGCAGCTGATAACAGAGTAAGGCAGATAAAGAACCAGAGGGGTACCAAAAGGCTATTACTAACAGAATGAAGCACAAATCCACAATATCTAAATGCCCAAGATTACATTTATTTCCTTCAGAAACACTCAGAAAACCACCTCTGAACTATGCAACTTGGGAAGAAGAGCCAAGTCTTAAAAGTCTCTTAACAAAGTGAGAAAGTGAGTTTTGGCAATTGGCATCACTTAAACCACTCCTAGATGTGCGTCAAACCAAGATGGGGATCTTGGTACATGCAAGTTCAATGGGATGCAGTAGCCCGTGGACTAAAAAAGCTGTTTACAGAGCAATATGTGCAATCCCTGTTTGTCAGAGGGAAAAAAAGCACTTGTCTACGGCTGGTCAAATTAAGGAAAGCCTCACTGCATAACCTTCAGTGAAATGCCAATTGAACTGACCTCTATTTTTAGCACTGAGGAAAGATGGAAGAATATCTTAAATTAGCTCACCAATGAAGGGGGGGAAAGGAGTAAGCAGAAAAGGTCCCTGGGACCAACACAGCCTTAAAACAAACGTGTCATGGTTTACACCCTGGAGCACAGGATGTCCAGAAGAACTTTCTTAGCATTGGTTTGCTTATTGGTTTTCTACTACTACTGAAGAACAGTTTGGAGGCAGTATTAAAGTAAATCAATTAAAAGGAAAGGGAAGCTATTTTGTAAAGTCATTGTACAAAGGCACAAAACTAGAAACACCCTTAGACGGCAGATAGAGACGTGCCCTCAAGAAGAGATGCCATCACTGCGAATCACAGAATCAGAGAACGGCTTGGGTTGGAAGGGACCTTAAAGATCATCCAGTTCCAACCCGGTGCCATGGGCAGGGACACCTTCCACTAGAGCAGGTTGCTCCAAGCCCCGTCTCACCTGGCCTTGAAAGACATCATCTTTTAACAACTGAGTGCATTCCAGAACTCAAACCCTGACTGAAACCATTAAACTCCAAAGTAGTTCAGGAATAGAAAAACCTTCTAATGACTTTGCCACACAGTGAGCGAGCACTGGAAATAATTTAGTGGCTGCATACTTTGCTTACAGGCTGAAATACAACTGAAGATTCCCCAAAGCTTTCCAACGCATATAAATAAATATCAACTGCATATAACTTACTGCCTAGAGGCTAAAAACGCAGCTGAAGATTCCCTAATGTTTTAAAACACACACAAGCACTCACCAGGTCGCCAGAACAAAAGTCCACTGAATGGGAGCCCAGGCACGTAACAATCTCAACAGACCTTTATTGTGAGTATTAGAATGCAGTCAACATTATTGCTATTATAAAAAAACAAATCACAGGAGAAAGTATTTTGCTTCTCTCACAGAAGATATAATAATAGTGCACTGCTGCCTCTCTCAGAGTGTTTAGTGACAATACACTGACGCACAGTGGCTACAGCTGAACGGAGGTGGCTCTGGCCAGTGTTGAAGAAAGGAAGGCTGCTGTCAGAAGTAAACAGCAATTGAACTAGCTCTAGTTATTCAATTCATAGAATAAGGCTGGCTCATCTACCATTTACACACAGGCCCAGTGTGTATGAGCAGTTTTTCATGGAGTTCCTTTTCTCCATGTGGTCTCCAATCTTTCATTTGGGTTGTTCAGGTTGGTGCAGAATGGCTGCCAAATGCACAGCCTGCTCTTTGTGCAGTGTATTTTCACCATCATTACATGCTTCATACTTGGTTTCCATATATAAACAGATATACACATAGTGTATAATACTTATTGCTAAAGACAGATTCCCCACACCCAGTGCCCAGGACATAACACAGTATAACAAAAATCATTGCTGAAGTATTTCAAACATCCTCTGTAAAATGATCACCTAAAGCCATATACACTCAGTACAACAGGGGAAAAAGTGTCAGCTCATGAAATGTGAGAATAGCAATGGGCATTTCAAACGGATTAATCCTCTGGCCTTAATAAGCACTCCAAAATTAAGGTGCATGTACTGTAACATTTCTAAGCAGTAAAGAGAAAATCTACAATTCCAGTGTTGTGTATCAACATGACAAAGATGGGTCCTGTTTGCAAATGAATGGCATCATTGCATTCACCCCTTTACACATCAGCCCCTCCACAGAACCATCACAGGGCAAGCTAGTCCAGACAGTCTCACCACACACTTCTAGCTATGAAGCCCCTGTTTGTCCTCACCCCTTACTTTTGTTACTGATATTTACATCAAGCTCCAGTTCAGCTCAGGATCTGTTTTGTGTCTGTTGAAGTTTCAGTGAACAAAATAGTTGTAGTTTCCCTTCACATACAAAAGAGCAATATTCTGGTTTGCAAGCATCAAAATACTTTCCTAATTTTACTGTGATGTTCGAGTGACTCCTTCACATCCGGCCTTTCAGTTTGGTAAGAAGTGCTGGAGCCCAGCAGTGCCAGAGAGATTTTGCTGTCATAGTCATTGAAGTTCAGTTAAGTCAGAAGCCAGACGGGAGGAGAGAGAGATCAGGAGAGACTTACTAAAGGGAAGCAGCAAAAACATCTGAAGATTTGATCATGGTGCACACACTCCAACTGTACCCAACTTGTAGCACACACTGGAGGCTGAGGCCAGCAGAGCAGAGGAGACCTTCCTCTACGAGTGCTTCCCACAGCAGCCAGAAAGAACTGGGCACAAGAACAGAGGAATGAAACCCTTCAGGCACCACAGAAGAAGCCAGAGTGCTGAAAGCTGGAGAACAAAAACAGATACAAGATGCAGAACAGGTGAGGAGCACACGGAGAATTTCAGAGACGAAATCAAGAGAGACAGGTGGATGTCAGCCATAAAGAGGACTGCACCCATGGAAGAACAGTTTCAATTCTTTGCCTCACAGCAAATACTTCATATCTATCAGAAAGTTGCAACCCATCATCTTCCACTATTTTAAAGAAAATAGGCTTCTACCACTGTAAATTACTCTATAGCTGAACAAGCACCTCTGCACCTAAGGCCAGAATATCCAAAACATGGGCACTACTCAACTACAGCTACCCAAGAAAAGGGTTAGCAGGAAGCATCTTCCAACCCATTCCCTGCCACATGAGCTGAAGTACCTCCATTCTGTGACTCAAAGATAACCAGCCCGTCTGACCACATCACCAAGACTACATTTCATTCATGACTGCAATACTGATGTCCTACTGCCATCACTGCAACTGAAAATGCCAAATTCCTGATGGAGATGCCTACAGTACAGTCAGAGGAAGGCGGCTTCGAAACAAATCACCCTCAATAAAATCACCATGAATAGAAACAACCCCCAGGCAAAAAGCTGGGCATTTCAAGGCTCCACAAGTTTGCCATTTAGCCCTGTGAAATCACAAGAGGTTTCTGTACAGTGGCATTTCCCTTTTGTTTATGAAGAACTTACAATAGGTTAAAAGGCTATGAATTTACAGTTGTTACCCTTCTGTGCACAAGGATCAAAACCACCCCTCACACTGCCAGATACTATTTCTTTCTCCAAGTGGGTCTGCCTCCATTCTACGGCACAAACGACTGCAATTCACACCTCGATAAATGATGTTGAAAACAGATTGTGTGTAGGTCCCTGGCTTATTTACAGAGGAAGACAGAAAATGATGCCTACAGGAAGAAGATTCTCGATAAGGCTGACTGGAAGTAATTCTGGTCTGAACCAGGTCACATCAGGTTTGACTGGCACACGAGCAAAGCAATCGACTGTAGGTTACGTTCTGTGCAAAACACTCAGCATTTGTATGGCACTTGACTGTAAGTGTTCAAAGAAAATACTTCAGAAGCATCCCAAACCTTTGAATGCTTGAGAATCTGGAGCCAAAACTAATGTTCGCATGGTAGAGACTAAGATCACAGTTTGAGAAAGCAAACTCGAACAAGTCTGTGAAGCATTCAAGCAATACGTGATGTATCACAGCACGGACCAAAAGCACATTGAGGTTGTGCCTCAGAAGACATGAATGCTTGCAGGAACTTTTCTAATACGTGACTATGCAAGAAATTAAGACTAAAAAGTACTGAACAGATTATTTGTTCTTGTAAGCACAGTCCATCCTGATAAGGCAGGATCCTGAGGGATACAATTACATACTCAGGTAAATGTAGAGACCATTACAAATGCAAACAGAAGACAAATTAAAGCTGCAAGGGCAACTTTAACTTTGACCTTATGATTTCCTTTTCAGGATACCATTCCTTCATCTCTGCACTAAGAATGAAACCTCCATCCTCGCACCTAGAATCTCCGGGTCCACCTTCCCTTCAGTAACATTTACAATTATAATACATGACACACATTGCATAATGTTGCTACAGTATATGCTGTATAGATTCTGTAAATACACTCCACTTTGTTTCAAAGTAATTCATCTGGATTTACACTTCTTTCACACATTCGAAGTTATGCAGCAAGTGAACAACAGAAAAGAGTCTCATATATCCCAAAGCAAGTAGGTCACTCAACTATTCATATTGTTTGAAGCAGTTATTTAAGCATCCAGCTACATAACAGAGTATTTCATTTATTAACAGTTGCTACAAAAACGTCAACAACTCCTCAGCTCGTGTTCTTTCTGCATTATGAAGTTGCCAATCATCTCATAATTAACTTCCATGTTCCCATGCAGCTCTGCAATGTCTCCTACAAGCTTGATGTGGCAAGACTTTTTAAATAGCAACCACCCTGTAGCAGGGGTTTACATTTTGCTTTGGACATCAAGAGTGGTATCTCACTGCAGATATGACAGACAAACAGGAAACATCGGGGTAGGTTTATTTTAGCAATGAACCAGCCATGCTGCTTGCTTTCTCAATAATGGTTCTATCACGAAAGTTCAATGCACTGGCTGCAAAGTCATTCCCAAATAATCCATCTTTGGCACATATTTCAATGTTATGCATCCTCAAAAGGCATTCCAAGATTTTTTGATGGTCTGTACATTAGGACAAACACTTCTTTTTTACATTTGTATGCAGATCAGGAAGAACAGTGGAAAATGTAGAGTATGCAGAATAGTTTTAATAAACAGTTTTACATACAGTACCTTACATATAGAACAGTGTGTTTGCAAATTTAAATAGTTTTTGAATGTACAGTGGCTTGTACTCTTTATCAAAAGGTAAATTCAAGTTTACTGTCTATCGGTTCTAAAATGCATTTATACAGATAACTAGAACTGATAAACAGACGTGAGGCATAAAATGTTCAAGTATCTTAATGTCACCAGTTAAATAGCCTCCTTTTAACAGTCATATTTTACAAATTTCAAAACCTGTACATACATTATTTTCAATTTTAGAAACTGCTTGTTAAAAGGTAACATTTCATGTTAACCACCAGTTCTTAGAGTCTATTGTAACAAAACTAGACATGTGTAGATATAAATGTGTAGAGTATGTATATATGTACATGTGTAGCTATACACATATACATACACATACAAATGTGTGTGTAGCACTGGGTACAGCGGCAACTTAGAAGCACAGGGAAAGTCCTGGCCTCAAAATCCAGCAAGAGCTAACAGAGCAAGTAGGTTGCCTTTGGTTTCATGACGTTTCATTCACTGAAGCTGAAAGATTTCATTAAAACATCTTGGATCATGTATCTTGTGAGATTTACTCTAGTGGTTTAGCATATTCCCAGCCACAGACAGATTTGCTGCTCTTGTCGTTCCTCATCCCAGCTGAGGATGGTAAAGTTTCAGAGGGCCAACACCAGAAGAGAGCTTAATCCAGGACAAAAATTGTACCTTGAACCCTGAATACTGCAATAGAACATAAAAAAATATAAACTAGATCAATTTTGGATGGATTGCTGGCACCAAGTAGGACTTTGGAAAAAACCTTCATGTAAGTCATAACCAAATTCTCATCCCAGTGGTTTTAGTATTATTTGGCACATCTGACCACTATTTGCCACTTATGTTTGAAAGGAGCCTAAGGGTGCTGCAATAAGGATTTCTATTTAAAAAAATAGTTTAAAAAGGAGACCATGATAAGTAGTTTCTTTCAAAAACTCAAAGCTATTACGTTTGCTTTTCTGAACATTCATGAGAGAAGGAAATAATCTACAAACTTTCCTTGTAGAGAGGATACACATCTCTCTGTGTCTATCTTTCACTAGCAAGACAAGAGGAATTCATTAAAAAAGCAGTTCCCAAGAATATCTAGTCAGCTGGATTCTGCTAAGGTAGATTTTTTTGCCAAAGGTTTCCACACACTGTTCTTTGCTGAGTTTTTGTTTGTTCAGCTTCCTTGTGTGGATTTTTTTTCTTGTTTATCATGTTAAAATCGTATCAGCATTTTTCAGAATGAAATATATCACATTTTGAAGTTTGGACATTGAATATTCAGATTTTCAGTACAAGGGATTCCTTACTCTAAATTCCCTCTCCTCTCTCTAAAGCTTCAGGCTACTAATCAGCAAAGAACCAGATAAATGCTCAGCTTTTTGCTGACTTCCTGTCAGTCTTGTGGCTAGTAAGAAAATTCACCGTAAAGATCCTATTTTTATTTCTTTATTCTTCCTTTTGTCATACAGAGCAAAGCGTTGCTATTTGCTGTACTTTCCCCATGTCAATTAAGAGCTGTTTGATACGTCGCTTGAGCTGAGGCAATCTTGCCAGAGGATCTGGTGGTTCCAGTTCTCCAGTGAAATCAAGCCAGCTTTCTAGAACTACAGAAGGAAAAGGAAGAAGTTGATTAGAATAAGTCTTCAAGAAACAGTTTTCATAACAATTAAACTTTTCTTTCTTATTCTGTCTTTTATACAAAGGGAAAATATACTGAGGCTGTGATTTTTACTTAACACAAGAAATTAGACATAAGGAAGAAGTTCTTCCCTGTGAGGGTGCTGAGGCGCTGGCACAGGGTGCCCAGAGAAGCTGTGGCTGCCCCATCCCTGGCAGTGTTCAAGGCCAGGTTGGACACAGGGGCTTGGAGCAACCTGAATTAGTGCAAGGTGTCCCTGCACGTGGCAGGGGGCTGGAACTGGATGAGCTTTAAGGTCCCTTCCAACCCAAACCATTCTATGAAACACCAACTAATTCCACACTTCACTTGACCACTCCAAACATATATTCTGATTTGATTGTTATTATAAAAAGTTACTGGGAGCAAATTATACTTGTGGCTAACAATTTGTCTAAAAATTCATCTACACACATAAAAGAAACCTCAGTTCATGATCTTCCGGTTATGACAGTTCTGCAACAGAAAACGCAATCCTTAAATGCAAGGCTTGCTCCTGTCACTCTAACAGGCTCCTGTTTAAAAGGTCCAGATTACAGAATGGTTTTCCAATCTTCAACAAATGTTTTCAAGGAATTTCTATGCTTGTAGAGACAGAGAAGGGAAAAGGTCAACCCTCTTAGCCTAGAAATACTGACCAGTACTAGCAGCAATACTGAAAGTAGAACTGCAGATAGAAATAAGACGATTTTATTTGTCAAAAGATAATCAGGGACTCCTATGAGTAGACTAAAAGCTCACCTCATTCTTAATTTCTATGACTGGTGAGTAAACTCAGGTGCTGTAATATTTACTCCTCTGCTACAAGTTCACAGAAGTTTTCTCCTGAAGCCTGATTTGTCTTATTAATATGTAGCAAAGCAAAGCTACAGGCAGAATGAACACATCTTTTTTTCCCCTGAATATTATCAATTGCTAGAACAATCAAGCCAGAACCATTCCAGGCATACCAAAACCCATCAACTTTATGATCTATATCTGGACAAAGATTAGACAAGTTATCTCAGCTTTCTGAAGTCTACCTAATATCACAAATTTAAGCTAAATTTTCAGGGATCCTGAGTGCTTAAGCTATGTTATTGGGCATCAAATCTTGTGGAAGGGTGGGGGGATCAAGGGTACAAGCTCTGGTTATCATTTTGGTACCCAAGTTTGAATACAACACTTAATCAATCCTCAGTGCCTCAGATCACACAATACAGTGGCTATGAAAGATGCTGTTACAGGTGTATTAACAAGTATCTGGCAATGCAGTTACCATCAACTTCTTTTTCAATCAGGTCCATTCTGCTGGTGACTTCATTCTGTACATTCTCTATATGGGTGAGGAGGTTTAGCTGCCATTGAAGATGTGTGTCCACTTGTTCTTCTGAGCCTTTTCTTTCATTACAAACAAACACAGTGTTTCCTTCAGCAGAATTCTTCTTCATAGGAGCAACAGAAAGAAAAAAAATTGCCATTTAAGAGGGTTTTCTTTTTTGCTTTGCTTTCTGGTGCTGATTTCAACATTGTCACACAACAAACTATGCTGGTTTAGAATTGTACTTCTGTCTAGTTGACAAAAAGCATAGTCAAAACACCATGTACCATGATACATCAATAGACTAAACCAAACAAAAAGCAAATTCCATACAAATGTGTATATGGAGCACTGGGGGAGTGAAGCAAGAGGTAAAGTTTACCAGCTCGAGCACTTTAACGCAGTAAGACAGACCTTATATAAAAAGAGCACAGAAATACTGTGCTCTTTTTATATAAAGCATGACTTAAATCATGAAATTGGAACTGAATTAGTCCACCATCACCAAAAATGTGTGAAATCCTAAGGTTTGTTTCCAGGGAATGAAGGGAAACATGCCTAAAATACATCAATATCCAAGATGTCAAAAGGCACTCTTTTGCACACATAAGCTGGCCCTTCTATTTGTTGATTAGGACAAAAGACTTCTCTTCCTGCCATCGCTATGGCCCCATGTAACTTGCAAGCACAAGTCTGGGTCAGAATTGAACACGCCTGGGGATAGTTACAAGGGCAAAAATATGCAGTTATGCAAATGTAGTCTCTGAGGAAGATTAACTGCTTTGAATTAATTAGTATCCTCATAGCAAGTTCCTCCTCTTTCTGTATTTGGCATTTCAGCTAATGAAAATGACCAAAGGAAATATATCAGATTTAATGAGTTTAAATGTTCAGTATCTCCACTAATTAGCAGGATTCACAGTTCCTATTTAATATCCACTGTGATTTCAGATCTGATGTTTTTTCACTATTGATGATTCTATTTTAGGAACCAGAATGCTGGATATGTGTGCTCACAGTGTCAGTTCATAGCAAATGCCAGAGTAAGAAGTTAATTTTATCGTATTAATACACTTCTCTGATGAAGTCCTCAGCTAATTTTTTTCCACATCACATAACAAAACACGCCAAACACCATTTTATTCTTAAAGTATTTCTTTCAGTCAAGAACAGGAAGTGAGAAGAGAGGGGGAGAAGAAAATAGAGACTGATGGATTTTAAGTTACTTCTTAAGAAAAAATACCCCATCAAAAATACTTAAAATCAACTAAAAGAACCCATATCAAACTTGGGCCAACCTGATGGCAGCTTTATGAGAAAATCTGGGGGACAAGTATGGTTAATACTCAAAATATGCATTAAAGAAGTTAAAGTTATTTATCACAGAGAGATTTTAAAAGTCATATAAAGACCCTGAACTCTCAAACCTTTCCAATAAAATTTTTTCCTCTCTCAAGACATCAGGTTTGCCTCCACAATGTTTTCACTCTTCAAACTGTTATTAATCTTATATAGGGTATTTCAAACATAAGGAACAGATGCCTTATTTCTTGCAATTTTCAGACCCTCTCTAAAAGCACAAGGCACGAATGCCATTTTTCCAGTGCTTATGACGACCCAAGTGCATCATTCTAAAACCAAGATCATCTGGTTAGGTGATTCTTTTAGATGCCCCCTGCACTGTTAGAGAACATCTTAAAGCTAAATAACCTCTAAACACCACCATACAAAATTCCCCCACACACACACATGCTTTTAATGACCTCTGTATTTACTCAAATGGCTAGTAAATGCTCCTTGAGAAAAGCAACAAAATCACAAGATCAAACAGGTTCTCCTCTAAGATCAGTGCAGGCAATCAGTGGTGGCAGTGGCAGTAAGAGAAGCAGAGCACAGGATCCAGCTTGTGAAGAAGGAAATGTGAGATTCAGGTGGGGAAGGCTCATTCTTTCAAAAGCAAGAACAAGGAAACAAAGTATAATTTTAAAAATGATGCATAGTCCAAAAAGGGCCTTGATAATAATCAACCCGAATACTGTTTATAAGAGAAAAGAGGGTATGTAACACAGAACTGTAGATTAGGACAAAACAAAACAGTAAAGCAGAATATTCGAGGCTTTGCAAGATGCTAGAAGGAGAACCCAAAGCTCCAAAACTCTGACAAGGAGGTGAACTGGCACTTCAATCTCAGCGTCCTCATGGCTTTAAGGCAAGTACAAACAGGTTCATGAAGAAACCAAGGAGAGCTTTTCAATGCATATTAAGTCTAGATAGAAAGCCTCATTTCAGGTATCAAGGCTGACTACTGACAACAAGGTGTACTAAAGGAAAGAGTACTCTAGTACTACCCCCAAAACAGAGAGCTTTAGATATATGCTTTAGTATCTGAAAGAAACATTAGTTTTGCTTCACTGCTCACATATATTTACTTTTAAGTTTAGATTTATTTATACTATTTAAGCTACTGTTTGAAGGAAAGTCTATTTCACACTGCTGCATGTCCCCTTACTATAAAACTAAATATAATCATGCAATTTAACAAAGTTATTCCTATCTAGAATGAGCCATAATTTCCTGTTCAGCCTATATAGCTTACATGTCGCATTTAAAACTAAAAGAAAGAGAGACATATCTTACTCATTTCTTCCACATCAGAAATCGTATTTCAAAATGGGGATGAATTGGGCAATTTATTCTCACACAGTTGGTATTATAGAAAACAGAAAGGATTGTTTCACTTTGGGTTTTTGCTCAAAGAGAACTCTTCACTAGAACTAGACTAACAAGTTTCAGACCTCTTCCACAAAGCAATAGATTTAAACCATTAATGCAAACCCGAGATGTTGAAACAGACAATATAATCCTGACTAAAAACCTGTGAAATGTTTAATGAGAAGAAATACACAATATAAAAGACTCAAACTTGTTGGTCACTCCTTGCGGATAGAATTGTAGATAGTGTTGCTAGTAAAAAGAATACAGTACAATAATAACAAAAGTAGCAGTTTAACAAACAACAACACAAGCCCAAAATGTAGAAAACAGAATTGAGAAGAAAAAAGAAACCCATTTTCCTCACTGTGCAAAAACCACCTAAAAGTTCTGTTCCAGGATCTTGCATTTTAAGCATAGGAATTTCCCCCACCCAAACCACTGAATTGAGCATAAACAGTTTTAGCAGAGGCAGTACTTTAACCATACTTCACATTTCATTCACCAGCTGAAATGGGTATACTTCACCTGAAACTATTCCAGTGATCCAACTTTTTGCTTCTAGTGATTTCTGCTGACTTACTTGACAGAAGATGTTGACTTCTGGCAATGAACATTTCTAAATACTTGTATGTGCTTGAGTTTTATCAGCTTGAGCATGTTTTTCCAACTAAGAAACTTCCCAGAGGAAGAATGATACTTACCTGCTCATTCATGCCACCATCTTTAAAAGAATATTGTAAACAGTTTTTATTCTCTGTGTGAAATTCCTGATCTTCATCAAAACTACTTGTATCTTCATCATCTGAACTCATAGGGTCAGTGACTGTTTTGCAGTCTTGACCAAAACTCTGTGGTTTTTGGTAACTGTGCTCACTTGTGATGTACGTTTCTTCCATCTTCTTGGGTATACTGGGTGGCTCTTTATGGTTATGACTGCGACATGTCCTTTCAGTTGGATTAACAGCATCTGGCAAAGTCACTGATTTTTTCTCTACCCCAACAGTTATTTGTTCTTGTTCTTTTCGTGTCCCTGAATAAGCCCAGAGATGAAGGTCTGGGTGATGCTTATTTCTGCAACAAAGGGGAGGGAAAAAAGCAAGTTACAGAGAATGAACTATTAAGTGTTCACTTCTGCTGGATCACAGCTATTGATAAGCACCATTATGAACCATGCAAGTATTCCTAGGTCACTTATCAATTTAGAATAAATCCAGAATGTCCCTTTAACACTAAACTGACTATGAAAAATAATAGTTTTTTAAAAATCACTAATAAACCTAATATACTGTGCTGAACACAACTCCCACTGAAGCTGAGGGAACTCTACATCTTGCACTTGAAGTATTTGAACTATTATACAAGAAAGAACTTTAATGTGAGAGCTTACTACATATGGAATAATGGTAGTCTCTTCTACCTGAATGCATAAAGAGAGACAATAAACGCTGGACTGATACTTACTTTAATATCCCAATCTTCAACTGCAATCCATGCAGTATTTCAGTTACACCATATACATCTGCCAGTAGGTGATGTGTTGACACAATCTTTTTGGCATTAAGATGAGAGTAGTTTTCTTTCAAAAACGATAATCCACACATGTGTCCATTGTTTAGCCACTCCTTATCATACAGATATTTGGCACTCCACCTCTGACCTGGGGTAAGCAAGAAACAAATTGAGGGCCATCTGAAGCCACAGCAGAACTAATTTTAAATAACTAGAGTGCTATAAATATATGCTGTAATCTCCTAAATGTCTCTTAATGTACATGAAAGAATGATTCAGGATTTCGTTATTAATAAATTAAAGTTTAGTTTTCATGGATTAAGAGGAAATTCTTAACACTTACAAAACCAAAAAATACACCTAAAATCTCAAGTCCTCTCTAAATGGTGTTTGAAAATAAAATCTGATCACCTCTGCAATCAAATAAGGGATACCAAGAACTGTGCTATGATCAATCTGACAAAAAAATTGTTTAAGTTGTCATTTTCTCTATTTAACCACTGCAACTTACTTGAAAAGAAAACTAAGTTACCAAGAAAAACGTCAGAGTGGATTTTATACAGACATATCCAAACCAGCTGGTTTGTTTCAATACTGAAGTCAATATCTATCTATTAGACTAAGCCAGGAAAAGGCTTCATGAAAAGCAGACATTTCAAAGTTACCTGACAGCAGAGCTCTTGCACTCTCCTTTGAGGTGCCTTTTACCAGATACTACTAGACAGGGTGTTGATGTAAGTGCACCCCTAGGTCTCCCATGCTATGGCAACATCTACACTCTTAACCTAACAGGCACAGACGAGTATTTAGCTACTGCTTCTATAGTAACTTCATAACTATTCAAAAAAACAAAACCAGCAAAGCCAAAAAACAAAACTAGAGATGTATAATGCTAATTATTCCAGTACTACTGTTTACAATAAGGAATTTGGACAAACAGAGTGACTGCAATATCTTACACTCAATTTCATATCAGACTATCATCATACACAGAACAAAGAACGGGTTGATGGAAGCCCTTCATACCTTTCAGGAGAATACCCTGTCTATCTCCTTTCTGCCCATTATCCCAATACACTTTAAAATACTGACATTGTGAATGACCTTTTTCTCCTGACATAGAAAGAAAAGAAGTGATGGTTAGGAAGGGAGAGAAGGTAAAAATTAGGGACACAGTCTCTGCATAGCAGCGGATAACAAAGTACCTAGTATAGCGCCGGGAAAGAGCACAAGACAAATTAGTTGGTTTTAATAAGAAAAAGCTTGACTGCTCAAAGAATACACCACACAGAACTATCAAACAAGACTCTACATCATCAACTGAGATTCAGACTGGGGCAAATGGAAAAAGTCACATCTTTCCAGCTCTATTTTCCTGAATTTTCTTCTCAGAAATAACTAATAGGAACTGTGCTATTTTACACCCTGCAAACACTTTTCAGGTTTCAATTCCTAAGTTCAGAACAAAAGTAAGTTTTGGAGTGTTGTCTCGCTGCCTTTCTGAAACACCTGGACTGTTGGTTATTTCACCAGGAGACACGTCTTTGCATTTGTATCAATTATCAGGAAGAATACTAAAAACTTTCTCCCAAATTGTATTTTTTTTCTCCAAGTAACTGCTAGGAAAAATGGGTTTATGGACAGAATAATTATAAATCAGCCTTTTCCTAATCCAACATAATTCAGTTTAGAAGTAAACAGACTTTCCCTAATTCTTACCAAACTTACCCTAACAACCTCCAAGATGTGCTGTTTGTGCACTTTTACCATTAAAAGTGCTAGATTTTTTCATCTTTTCATATTTTCTTTCCATATTTCATTGTCATATTCCATTTCCACACCTTTTTTTACACATTATAAATGCAAACACTATAAAATTGCACTTAATATGAACTGGCATCCTCAGCATAGCTGAGTGTACTGGGGAGATGAGTCCTTTCTAAAAGATCTTTAAATGAATGGGTGTGATTCCAAGTATAGGCAAATGGACTGCCAAAAAAGAATGATTTAAGAGGCTTTTCAGACTACACCAACATGGAAAAGTACTAAGGGTTTGGAGGAATTAAGTTTTAAGAAGTAAAGCAATGGTAATTGAGATCATGAATAAGATTTAGTATAGCTGAATAAGGTGCTACTAACAGGAAAGTAAGTCTCTGCTAAAAGCCAAACTTAGAATCACTTGCGCCAAGGAAATATGACAGGTAACACAAAATAGACAAAGCTTTAACAGTTTAAGCGACGCACAACATCTCTGCTTAAAAATTCCAAGCAAACAGCTGCACATAAAAGTGGTTTGCCCGTACCTGGTGGATCTCTGCAGATGTAACAGATGTATTGCTCTGGAATGCTGTCCTCTAACAGTCCCATGCATACACTGTGCTGCCAACACAAGCACTCTTCGCACTGCCACCAGGAACAAAATAAAAACAGAAGCAAAAACTAAAACTGAGATCATAGATGCAAAAATCAGAAGCTATTTCTTGTATGGTCAAAATGCAGAGAACAGCAGTTTAACTTAAACAGCTGGTTTGAGTAAGATTATTTTAGTTGGGCAATTTGTGTTTGGGTAGGCAAAGACATCAGGCTAAAGAAGAGCTCTAGTTCTGAAAGTTACCTCAACCACAAATTCCAGACCGGGGGGTGGGGGGAACCAAACCATAGAAAAACCAAAGATGTAATATTTAATAATACTTTATTACAAAATCCAATATTTTAGCACCTACATATTTAGTAGTGAAACTTAAGACAGGAGTATAATATTACAGTAAAGTAGAAAGATAATGTAATACATTACAGCATAACAGTGAAAAGTAGAAAACTCTTCAGTTTAAATATTTATATTTACAAAGCATCTCTCCAGTGCGCTAGAAAGATGTGTTTTTAATATCGCACCAATGGAAAATCTAAAAGAAAAAGAAAATGGAGAGAAAATGAAAGAGGAGAAACAAGAGAATAGGAGAGCAAAATAGAAGTGGTACGACATGAGGGCTTAGAAACAGCAAATTGGTTGCTCTCAGTCAGACAAGGCATGAAGAGGAAAAAAAATCAGGCTCAAGAAATGGGCAGGAAACTACCACTTAAAAATACATTTCAGTTTCTCAACTCAGCGTTTGCCTGTGTCCTAAGTAACTGCTGGTTTACTTCGGAAAGTCTCTCCTCTTTGCTTTTGAGGATTCAAAGCACCAAAATCACCTTTCCTCTTGTCATACTGCAAGGGCTACAATTTCCCTCCCTCTCTCCACAGGTTTCTACACCAGGTCATTTTTCCACATCAAGACCACAGCTGAACTCCTGCTTAGCTCCTCCAACACAGCACTGCATTTCAGTGTGTTCCCAGGGTCAGTCTTTGTGTCCTTCATTTTTAACTCCTGTCGTTTCCAAAAGACTTTAAGTCCAGTAACACAGGACAGCCATACTTGCTTCCTTCAAATCACAACTAAAAAGGCTCCATATTTTCAATAGAAACTGTACCACATCAATAGTTTAATACAAACCTGGTTTTTGAGTGAGGGATAAAAACACAGGAAGTTCATGGCTTTTTTAAAGTTACTGACAACCAAGTTCTTCCTCACTGTTGCTTTCATCTGATCTAATCGCTGTATTATGAATTCCTTGAGACAAAGACTTTAAATTGTTCATTACTAGATGGGAAATGCTCCCCTCATTGGAGTACAAATCAAGAAGCAGCAGGATTTACAATCCATCAGCACCTGAATGCTGTGCAGACACCATATGCTCTTCTTCCTGCTCTTCTCTACCAAGTAAGATTACATTCTTAGTGGTTTCTAAAACCAGCTAGTTATTCTAGTTTGAGAAGCACTATTCTGAAGATGAAGCATGCACACCACGCACACATCACAGTACTGATGATATTAACTGTACAGCAGAGGTCTTGCATACAGCTGAGGCACACTGAGAGTGAGCAGAGGCATTTCTACAACTGGTACTGCAAAGCACACGGGCCTAACCAGAAGGGCTGGTATAATCAGGATGGTTTGTGGACAGAAGCCATGATTCGTGTGCAAGAAAGGAGATTTTATTCCAGATTTACTAACTGGCTATAAAGAAAAGAGTTACCTTTCCTTACAAACCTGTTCTACATATTGAATTCTTAGAGAAAATCCATCCTAAAGTTATAATTTCGCTTACATCAAACAAAGCAATGCCAAATGCAGAATGTAGAAATAATCTTGTTATTGTTCACTTCTACTTACAGCTCTCTACGTAACTTTAGTTCCCAATACATCAAAAGGGCACCTTCACAAGCAAGACATTCACACAAAAAATACTCCCAAATTTCTTTACCTGAATCATAAAGCCATTTTCTTCATCCAGTTCACAAATGCATCTAACAATTTCATTTAGAGCATCATCTTCATCCTGAGACTCTTCAAAGTTAGTTGAATCAAAATCCTGATTGTATTCATCGCCACTAAGTAACAAACTCTCTGTAGAGGAATCATCCAAGAACTCCATATCTGAAAGGTCTAGTAAAAATAAATACATGTGAAACTGTGTGTGCAGAGACACAATAACTTACAGAAATATAGGGCATCAGTTGAAAATCTAAACCCTTATACAGCAAAAGAAAAATTTCTCTCAAACACACTGCTGGCATGCTGCATTTCTTGAAGAATTCTGCAAAAGACTTTTAACATGATCACCTCAGAAGCAGAGGAACAACTCTTATCCAAAGCAAGTACAATGAAGAACAGCTTGAGGAGTGTAAGAATTTTGATTTAAATAGATGAAGCATAAATCAGTTACCATATTTATAGCTCCAGCCCCGAAGATTAACCAAATTACTGCCTTTAAAAATCTCTTTCTTAAATTATTAAACCTACAAATTGAAAGTTGCTCTTCAGCCAACCTACTTTCTCCACTAAGGTCAACAGACAAGATAGCTCTTGGATACTGGTACGATGTATTCTTCTCTGAGAACATGCTGCGCAGAGTCAGAGTGCTCCCTGAGGACCGTGTTAATGGAGAGGAGCACCTGTCCAAGAACTCAACAGAACTATCCTCATAATCTGAATAATCTGAAAAGAAAACAAGCTGCTGTTACAAAAGCAAAGTTTGACAAATGCAAGAAATAAAAATAAAAGAAAGATTAAGTATACTGCAGCATCCTACTCAGAAATAAAGGATATCAACACAGCGATATGAAGATGTTGAAACTAAATATGAAATGCTGAAGCTCTACATAATATTATATTTAAAAAAATCCAGTATGAAACATGAAGTTTAATAGCCAAGACAAGCATTACCCATTTAACTCCCCCCAGCTCCCATCTCTGAATGTACAGAGCCCCATCCAATCTGGCCTTGAACACTTCCAGGGATAGGGCATCCTCAACTTCTCTGGGCAACCTGTTCCAATGCCTCACCACCCTTAAAATAAAGAATTTCTTCCTAATATCCAACCTAAATCTACCCTCTTTCCATTTAAAGCTGTTACCACTACATTCCCTGACAAACAATCCATCCCCATCCTTGCTGTAGGACCCCTTTAGGTACTAGAAGGCTGCTACAAGGTCTTCCCAGGGCATTCTCTTTTCCAGGCTTAACAGCCACTCAGCCTGTCTTCACAGGGTAGCTGCTCCAGCCCCTGGTCATCTTCGTTGCCTCCTCTGGATCCACTTGAGCAGGTCCATGTCTGTCTTACATTGGTCAAATGATAACTAAGAGCAGCTACCCATTTGCTCCTCTTATAACTTTGAATATAAGTGAGTAATCACATTTCTACACTTTCATCCCAAAAGCTACAGTTTTCTTGCAATGGCTTCCACAGTATGCTTCTCTCCTAAACACCTTCCATAAAGCCACTCTTCATATTTACTGTCTCCTTGTGTCAAAAATAAATTATCTACCACATTTCCTGAGTATATTGACTGTACAGGAGTCAAGTCAGTGAGCAGTTGATTACTTCATGTTGTATGGCTGTTAACCTCACTGTAGCAAAGAATAAAAAGCTCATGTTTCACTCACACTGCTTTCTGCATCTAGATATATGACTGCTATTTGTTGGGCATTGGGAGGTATATAGTTTTCTCCTAATATTTACAAGCATTGGATATGGCCCCTAGAAGTTGGAACTTAATCATGGTACCTCTGCCAAGCTTCCGTTGCAAGAAAAGTTGGCAAAAAAGACCTCAACAACATAAAAACCAAAGCAAATACTGGGCACAAGAACATGGCTCTCATGTTAATTTGCAAGAGATTCTCTAATTGAATCAGTTTGGATAAAGAGGATCCTTTCAACATTTATTCTTGGAATTTCTAAAATTCAACATTTGCATTCTTTAGAAACAAATTTTAACATTTAATGCCAGAAACACACCAAGTGGTTTTGCTTACTTAGAAAAATAAAAAGGAAATTGAACTTACCATGCTGTTTAGATTTCTTCTTTTTTTTCTTCTTCTTTTTCTGTTTTGATTTATGATCTTTCTCCTTTTTCTCTTTTTTCTCCTTTTCCTTTTCTTTCTTTTTACCTGAAATAGAATGTAACACTTTAACACAGCAGTACCAGTCCACATTACCTGCTTCATTTGTTTAACCTAAACATGACATCCAAAATCAAGTATTCCAGCTGCTTAGTCTGATCAGAATGATGCAGTTAATCTAGTTGATATCCTGAGCATGTCTCACTAATTGCTGGTAGAATGGGTCAAATGAATCTCTCTCAACAAATAGCATTTTACCATTTTAAGTACTTCCAAATGAAATATCGTAGCAGAAGAAGATATAGCAAAGCACACAAAATAAGTGACATTATTTAGATAGCTTGTAACATCTGTTTTACTTACCGCTTGTAGCAAAAAGGCTTGGGCAAGAGAAAAAGCTTTCAAAAGTACAAAATTCCAAACTAAAAAGAAAGGAATGTCTTAAAAACACTTATTAGGCCTGTAGAAAGCCATTTGAAGGCAATTCCAGTATCACAAAATGGGTGATGCTGTCAGCGCCTTCTACTACACAGTGACATGCCCACAGAAAACTGATTCTGACTAAAATTTACGATACATTTTCTACACCATGCTTCACTTCTAACCACTGCTGCTATATGCATGAGGACAAGCAATTTGTCTCAGAAACATGCTATTATATCCTGTTAATTCTCCCCAGACAAACATCCCACAACATTTTCACTCCATAATCATTCTCTAAGTAATCGGTGAGATAAATAATGAGGAAATTGACTTGTTACAGAAAATAAATCCTTAAAGTCAGTATTTAAGGATTTCCTGCACATAAATTTGAGTCTTATTTTCTTCTTTGGAAATACAGAAATAGAACTGTTACCTTGTGGAAAAAACAAAAGGAAAATCACTTACGAATTCTTGTCCATCTCTAATAATTTTCTTCTATTTTTTAAAACACAGGATAAGACCAAAGCCCTCTTAGTTTGTATTTTCTTTCAAGAATTGCCAAATGTTTTGCTAGTAACACTGAACCGTTTTCTCCTCTTCCCCCTTCCCTCCCAGTTGGTCAGTACAAGGAAATAAAGGCAGTTACCACTCAAGCAACCAAACTATTTTTAAGACCTAAACAAAAGAAGTGCAGCTGGGCCTAGGAAATATTTCATGCTTTAACATTCGCTCTTCAGAGACATCAAGTGTTAAGAGAATTTTTCTTTTTTTTCCTAAAAATATTATTGCTCCACACATACCATATGTTGAAGAACTTTTCTCTTCCAGTTTTCCTTTTCTCTCCATTCTCACAGCACCTGCCAATTGAAGAAGAATACATGACATAAGCGCAACGTCTGGCTGATGACCCACTTACTTGTAAAAGCCATTAGATCATAAAAAGCCCTAACGGTACATAAGAAGAAGAAACATATAAACAGTATTTTCCATGTCACTTTACAATTATTTTCATTGTCTAAAGCACTGGAAACAAAAAGCATTGTAGTTTACCAACTTCTGAATGCTTGTCCTTCTCTATCATGTTCTTTAATATTTCCTCCTTCAGACTCCCAAAACTTTTCTCCCTTATGGGCACAGAGCACTGTACCTCTGTCCCTTCAGAGCTCACTGATGTGGAAGACCTCTTTTTTTTTTTACTATTCCCTTTGGGTAACTTTAGACTATTGGTGAAAGGCATTTCCAGATGCAAGGCATGTACTTGGGACAAGGGTGCTGAAAACAAGAAGACAGATTTCCTAGGCATTCCGTAAGGACTGCAGCCAGGTCACTGGCTGGGTCAGATCACTGCAATGTCAAGTATTGGTAATAATATCATCACACTTAACACATAACTACTGCACATGAATGCCTCTGTCTTAGTCTTACATACAAGACAATACATGCCACAAGCTTTCTTTGTTTTGGAATCTGCACTCACATTTAAACTACTTGCGCTGTTTAAAGTGTACTTTTGCTGCTACATTTAAGCCTTTTTCTTTCCCTTTTATTGCACTGTAATATAAACCCACCTCAGCAGCAAGGGTTGAAGGTGCTGACATTGTCAATATCTTTTAAGTTAACATTCCAATGCATGAACAGTGAAACTAAGCTTTGGTACAACATTTTTAGTGCTGTAAGATTTACACTTCCACTTACTGCAATTTTCACTCATTTAAATCATTCACTGTCTTTCCTGTGTGTATTTAATCCATTTGAATTACATGCAAAATGCTGTGGTTACTTATCAGAATCCAGGATCATATACTGACAACTCTTATCTTGCACTATTCAGAAAAGTTTATCCAGCGAAATATTTAGTTGTTTTTAAATCTTTAATTTGTGATGCAAATTAGGAAATAACATGGCAAGACAAAACTTACAACTTCATTTCTAATATTTATAACCAAATAGGACAATACAATTGTCAAATAAACTAGAATAAAAGTTATTTATAAATAACATTATTGAGGTCATTCAAGACTATTACTGTGTTCATCAGTATTCTGAGCACTTTAAGTTTCATTTATATGTAACCTTCATTAGACAATTGAGGACATTTCAGGCCCTTGCCAAGGACATACTGTACAAAAATGCACCTCTACAGACTCATATGGGGTTCAGGGTTTTGAATGCCAGCTGTAAACACCTGGAGGCAGCAGTTGTGTATCTCAACCTATGAGCCCAACAAAAGTACCTGCCTGTAAAAATACCCTTGTGGGTTAAAGAGCTGTATTCAAAAAGGAAGTGGCCTGACAAATAACTACTAGCAGTCAAGATAGTAAAAATACAAAATATGAACCTGATCTGGAATGGGCTCTTTGAGCTTCCCCTTCTTTTCTCTTTCTTACAAAATATTCAGTCATAAAACAAGAAAAAGCATTTAAATAAGCACTTTTAAGGTAATTCAGTAAATTCATCAGTCAGAAAAGGATTCTGGGGAAAAGGCAAGAACATCTCAGGGCTGATTCCAACAGCTGCCTTCCAGGCGTGGACAGACCAACCCAATTCTGCTACAATACAACATACTAGCTACAGGAAACTTACTCCATCTCCTAGACAGCCTTCTCAGAAAAATAATCCAAATGCCACAGTGAGAAAGCTGCGGGAACAGCAAGTGCAATGGGAAGTCGTACCTCATGTACCACACTGCCCTTTTACATGCCAGATGTTCCCAGCTGCAAGACGCAAGACATCGCCATGCCATGCAACCTAGCCAGCAGCCAGAAGCAGCTGCTCAGTTCCATGTGCTGGCTGCTAACACGAGACATGAGCTGCACGACCATAGCTGAGGCTACCAGAGCCTTTCCACTACCTCAAATCAGCCACCTCACCTAAGACCATAATCCTTTCAGGACTGGTAGACCATTCAGGCTCTTGCCTTTGCCTGTATTTCAAGTGGACTTAGCTTGATGGGATACTTATCACTGACACAAAACACTATCCAAATTATGCCTTTCTTGGGTTTCCTAATTAACATTTGTCTCTGCTACAGGAATGAACTGCTTTGCCATCTGTGGAACAGCGAGTATATTTTAGCACCTCAGTAAAAGAAAAGTGACATTTCTTCACATCATCATGCTATCAACGTCTTGTCTTGTTTCTGAAATGAGCACAAAAGGATCGCCCAAATGCACATATAACTTGGTTAGGTCACTGCCATATTGATGAAAAGATAGGAGAATACTCCATCCAAACTATCAAGGGAAATTTAGTCTCGATATTAGATGAATCAGTATTTAAACTTCATTATTCAGAAGAAATCCTGACCTCAGATATTCAAACGTGCTCTCACAGCCACAACACAAGAAATCTCAGTTTTCAACACAAGCACATCTGACAAAGTAATCGGCTAGTAATTAAATAACTGTTTGTGAGAATATTTATGATGGGCAGAGATCTACTACAGTCACACAAATATCCACCTCAATGACAGAGCTCACCAGACCGCCTTGCTATAGTAACCTGAAAAGAGAAGTTACTATAGTGTCTGCATACACTACAACATTATTCTTGGCTTTTACTTTTATGAATCAGAAATCATTCTAGATTGAGAATCTCAAATTCTCAGATCCTAAATAAAGTGTTAAGTTTTGCAAAGCCTGATTTTCAATCACTGTGTCTTACAAGTAACCGCGGAATTAGACAAAGCAATCACAGTCTTAAGGGCAAGTAACAAATACAGCAAGAAAAATACCAGTTTATAAAAGACTTCCTGTATGGCATTATTACCATATTTTTAACTGTTACTTTTAATTGCAATTTTATTCCTTTTGGTGGAGTCAAGTCAGCCATCTCCCACACAGGGAAGCGTGGGAGCTCTGCAATTAACACTCAGCAGAGAGAAAGATGCTTAGAGATTAGACTTGATAAACTACTAATTATGTCTAATTATGTTCTAATATCAATTTTATCACCAGAAGACTGATTTCAGATTGAAAATGAATGCAAACGACAGCACCTTCCAGCCTGGTTTATAACACTTTCCCAGTGCTATCTCTCCTGGTCTGGCATGGTGAAGCGCCACAAGCCCAAAGCACAAGCGCAGCAGCACAGATGGGCTTTCAGTGTGGGACTGCTTATTTCAGTTCACCACATTAAACTGCACCAATGTGAAGTAACTTAATTTGGTTGCATGATAGTCTACTCCATGGCTTTTGATGTTTCAACTTTCCTATTAACAGGCATCACAATCTGCATTAAAACAGAACTGAAATCATAACATGACCATCACGATTCATGGTTCTATCATAATTAATTTTGTAGTTTGAATTCCCAGTGCATAGGATGAATTTTATATCTAAATGCCCTTTAAATACATACACAGATTAATACCAGATCCTACACAAAACAATCTCTTTTGGAAGGATAAGAATATGGAAATTTCTCGCCTTCAGCTAACTACCCAAAGAATCAGCTGGGAACTTCAGGGCAGAGATTAGAATGGCAGATACTCAAATCAGAGAGCAAAGCTGACTGTCAATGGGTGTTTGGGGTAAACAAACAGCTCTAAAGTAACAAGAGCTTTAGTTCACAAGAGTCTAGATACCTCTTAAAAGCCAGGTAACAAATAACACTGACAAGAGTTTACTAAAAAGCAACTTATCTCATTTTCTGTCAATTTTGTCCAACAGCCATTTCTGTTCCTGCTGCAGTGAACTTATCCATGAAATTATGTAAAAATATACGTTCCCTTCTTCTAGTGTAAGTGCAAATGTGTTCCATATAGTGAACCTAATGTTACCCTACCAGTAAAATCATCTAGACTGAGCTAGAACAAGAAAGAACAGCTAATAACATTGCGATATTCATAAATATAACTATTTTCCTTTTAATTAAATTATAAACCCCAGATTGCTTGTTGAAATTATGTTTGCTCACTACATAATAGTTAAACACAAATGGTGTAGAGTTACAGAAACCAAGAAAAATTATCACAAATTTAGAGAGAATTACTACTACAGAAAGATCTGAACTTCAGGTAGCCAGAACTGGGGTAACTGCAGTACTCTGCGTGTATTTCCGCCTGATACTGAATTGAAACTCTATGAAAAGCTAAGTGTCAGAAAGGACAGTTTGACAAATGAAAGCAAGGACTCTTCGTTATGTGTGTACAGTATCAGTTGATCCCAAGTAAGCCCATACAACAGCGTAGGCAAAGCAGTACCTCCATTCCATAATTAACTGGTAGTGTACCAGTACCTACCAACATGCACTGTACTCCCAGGTAGCCTATGGACTGAAGGGATTGATCAGTGCTGCCTTTACAAAATGACAAGTTGTTCATTTAGAGCAATGATTTTGAGATCTACGTGTTAATGAGCTGCCATTTATGCTTCTGCACTTCAGGGCACCTCATACCTCCCCCCTGAAAAAGACCTAGTATCTTTTGAATAAAAAAGTCTTTACAATACATCATTTTCAGCAACATAAAATTCAACTGACTCAACTGATAGACTCCATTAGAAGCCTAAACTTCCAAATCCACAAATTACATCCCTGGGTCTAAAACAGTACAGCTCTTTCACAGAAGGGATCATACAGACACTGCTTCAGTCTAAGTACTTCTGTTACCTCCATAATCTCGGAACGTATCTACAGTTATCTACTTCAGTGATTATGAAGACATCAAGTCCAACATAAATGCACTCAGCAAATTCTATTGTGTTGTCAAAATCAGACCTGTCCAGACTGTCAATAAAATCTAAACAGCAGAAATGTCATAAAAGGACATAGACTTTAAATAGTTTGGTCAGATTTTTAAAAGGCAGACAATTACACTATAGTTTGGATTTTACACCAGGGATCTCAAATTGTAATGGCTAGAGTCACAGTGCCTCAACTAAATAATGCAGCATACCAAATTACACTTAGGCAGGCAGCTATTCCTGAATAATGCAAATTAACTTTTCTGAGTGATTTCAAGCTTTGACAGGAATGAGAAAGGAAAGCTTTGGGCACCTCTCCTTTATATATTAGCCTGCAACTGCTTAAACAGGTTCATTAGAAAAGCAGGGATAGAGTGGATTCTTTTCATTCTCCTGAAGCATGCAAGAATTTGGCATAATTATGAGTGAATCTCAAGTAACACGACTTGAGAATCTGTGCCATGTCTAAAGCAAAAACATGCCTTCTAACAGAGAGAACACAACAAAAGCTATTCAGAAGTGTAAAGTACCTACAGAGGTTTCAAACCTGGACTTAAAAGTTACATTTGAGTTTTTCTTCCTATGAGAAGACTATGAGACAAATGAGTTTCACCAGAGTTAAAAGACCGAGATGAACCCAAAAGACACAGGAACTTGAGTTAGTCCTAGAGGTATTCCTGACAGAAGCCGCTAGCTCCAAAACTGACACAGTTTAGTGGTAGACTTGGCAGTCCTGGGGTAACAGTTCGACTTGATGATGTTAAAGGTCTTTTCCAACCTAGCTGATTCCCTAAAAACTTTCCACGAAATCTCTGGATTTAAGATACCAAACTGCTTACATTTGTCTTTCAGCCCACAAAGCTTATACTGCTCAAGTGGATGCTGGGCTGCATCCTTCTGAAAACTCTTAAGATTTGGACAAGAAGTTGGTATGAAAACTCAAGACAGAGTTATATGGATTGCATGGAGGAAAACTGTAATATATGAAAATTAGGAACAAAACACAGACCTGTCCAGAAGGCAAAAACCCAGAAGACAAAAGGCAGTTGGTAAATCAGTTCTTTGAGACCTCTTAAAATTATACAGATCCCCAAAAGCTCCATTAAGCAGTATAAACTGTATTCTCCAGCACTGATTGCAAGTGCTTCCATCTTCATATTCTGGGCTCAAGTAGTAATACCAGGTAAGTTTTGTTAGGGAGTGGTTTCCCCTAACACAAAGTGCATGGACACACCAAATACTTTAGAGTCATAACTAAAGGTGGCTATAACTGAAACATATTATTTAACTAAAAACTCGGCTGTGGCCAAGACCCAGCTCAACAAATAAACAGCTACAGGTGTACTCATGGATGCTGGGTTTAGAACCAGCTCCCTCAGACTGCAAGCCATGATGGAAGCAGGCAAAATAAATACCTGCCAGCATTAAGAACTCCACATTAAATGATCCAGAAAACATATCAGAAAAACTAGAAGTTAAATTCCTGGTAACTGAAACCAGTTCTAATAAACAAGAAACAGATGGTAGCTGGATGCTGTTAGTTTCTTTTACAGTCATGTTCTAGGAGTGGGCAAATATACATCTCCCAAAAGCACTTCTCTTAGTGGCACTAGACACAGTAATTTTCCCAGGAATGTGCTATTCTACTGCTATGCAACGTATCAAAGGCAAATGAAGACTGTCACGCGGTTTCACTTGAGAAATTAAGTAATATTTTTCTTAAAAGCTTAACTGGAATCTCATTAGAAATTCCCATAGCCCTTATTTTGACAAATTAGTCTGAGAGATTAATAGATTTTTCACAAGAGAGAAAGAGAAAGGGTAATTACGACCATCTCTTTTAATCTACACAATATCGATCCCAGAATCCTTACCCAGCTTTTGCTACACCAGGTAAATAGCTTTGCTACAACTCAGTAGCTATTTTGCTACTGAGTCCTGTTTTTTGTTTTAAAGTGAAGCAATCACCTTAACACTGTCAGTGTGAGCAGACACCCAAGCAGGGGCTATACATACTAAACAGCATACTTCACTGCCCTAGTGAGCGCTGCAGCTTAATGCAAAGCTGTTATTCCACCCCCGAACAAGACTAAGTTATAGTTTGAGTGTCATAATTTCATAGTTCAAGGTTACATTGTCTTCCTTACCATTGATTATATTTACCAAAACCTTCCTCAGCAAGGTACAATAATGGGATTTTTTTCTCCTCTTACTTTATTGAACTAATTTCTCGTTTAAATGCAAAATAACAACAAAAAAAAAGGCTTATGAGAGAATTCCTTCTTGAAAGCCAATTAAAAATGCTATGATACTCACCCAGATGAAAAAAGACACCTAACATACACTGGATGAAAACAACCCACTTTAAGGGTCTGCAAACCACTATATCAACACTAAAATCTCTTTATTGCCTCTATCCACGTGATTCACTTAAACCATGGTAGCCAGGAAACTGTTACAAAGTGAGAGGCAGCACAGAGTTCCAGTACTGGGCTCTATGCTGACTCTGTGAGGGTGAACCAAGACTATGTATGTAATTTTTAGGGGATTTTTCATAAACATTTTCAATAATCATTTCATAGCAAGCAAATGACAAAATTTCCACTGCAAACAGAAGCAAAGGTAGAGGAATGGTGACAGTCTTTGAAAACGCTACTAAGTTTTAAAGGTGAAGCCGCAAAGAAGTGAGTACACCTAGATTTACTGTATGTTAGTATGTTAGTAGCTTCATAGATTATTTTTACGAGTTTTAACAAAATCAAATCTTTTTAAAATAAATATTGCTTTGTATATTCCATAAACTCAGACCCTCCTTAAAGTGTGTTAGAAAAAGTGCTAGTGCAGCTCAAAGCCAGAGGAAGATGAATATGCAGATGGACAGACCCCAGGAGGAGTTGCAAGTTTGCACGTTTTAACCCTACAACTATAGACCTAACTGATTGTATACTGAATCTCTTTACCTGACGCTGTTGTAGCTACTCTTCCATCAGTTACTGCTTTGGAAGAAAGATATGTAATCATCTGAATATCTTCCTTGTCTTTACTGGGATATTCATTACGGAAAGTGGATTCTGTGGATAATGGTGCTGTAACTTCCGAACTACGGCTTAAATCAAGAGGGAGACATGGTCCACGCTTCTCAAGTGACATATGAGCAACATCAGGTACTACATAAAAGAAAAAATGTAGTATTAAAAAAGATACATAGGTCCAACAAACAACAGTTTGGATTGCAGCGTTACATAACATAGGAACAGCATTCAGCTTTAGCTACGGTAAGTCAAAAATATCCCCTTAGATGAAAACCGTGAAAGGTCTCATTTTTATGATTCAATTTCTCTTGGGCAGTTCTTTATTAGATTAAGATACATTACCCTCCAATTTTGATGACTGTTGGTTTTGACCACTGATGGAGAACACTTTTCCATCAGTAACTGAAGAGGGAGAAGAAACTTTTTCTACAGAATCATCAGGCAAGGAGCAAGTGGCTAAACGCTGTGATCTTCTTCTCCGTTGGCTATGTTTGTAGGATCTAGGGGAATTCACTGGCTGTGATGGACCTAAAAAGAGATCTTTCAATGTTCATGAAGCAGAGAGATATACCATAATCTTACCGCAGTATTTGAGATCTAAAGATGGGGAGTGCTTTAAATAGCTCTTATTTGCAAAGCTGGTAATCACAGCAGAACTGGTAAGAGTAATTAAAAGACTGTGATTACCAGGAGCAAAAAAAGAGTTATGCTCAAGACATGAGTCTGCTTTTTGCTTATTATACATTATTAGGGCACCTACTTCCCCACTGATGTAGGCTGTTGGTTTACAGTAAGCAACCCCCCATATAACCCATGAGATCAGGCTACTTATAATGGAAGGGGGCAATAGGATTTAACAGTAAACAGAACATACGATCACAGTTAAGGATCTAAAAAGTCATGGATAGTGTTAACATACAGCTTAAAAAAAAATACTCAAAAAACAGTGGTTAATTTTATATCCCACCTCCTGTCTTCTGCTAACCTGATATCAATACCCCAACTATGTGTCAAGCACACACTGCCAACGCGTGGCACAGTAAGAAGGGTCAAGAACCTTGTACTTTAAAAAAAGAGGGGAAGGGAGGATTGATATAGGTTAATATAGGCCTGATTCATTAAAAACAAAACACCCACACTCCCCTACACCTCTCCAATTTCACAAACCTTTGCCTTATTAAAGCATTTAAGTTATTATTCCACTGTAAATCACTGTTCTCTCCTTTTCTTAAGCAGTTTTAGAGTCCAAGATGTACGGATATAAAAATAAAGACACAGCAAAACTGAATTTCCATTAGAGGTGGTAAAGACTCAGAAGCAAAAGACTAAAAGACAGCACTAACAAGGCCTAAGCTATTAAGTAACCAAGTTTTAAATTACCTGATTTTTAAACTATTGCTACAGAGAAGCCTAACTTAATCCGAAATACAAACATGCTCAAGGAAAACTACTTACCATTGGTTTAGGGATGGGGAGGGAAGGTGTATAAAATAAAGATTTATGGGGATAAGAAACAATTTATACCAGTGTATCCTGAATAAAGAAAGAAGGCTAAATTTGCACCCCTCCCACTCCCATTCGTTTAAAGCTGTATGTGAGAAAGAAATTAAAAGAAACTTCTCTCTTAAGAGAAAAATATCATAACAAGGTTGTGGGGAACAAATGAGGCAGGTTTAATCTTCCATCCTCAACCACTATTCTAAAAATGAAACCAAAATGTAGCTTTCAACTTATTGGAACCCGTATTTATTTTTAATTCTTGGCCTGTTCTTCAGGGTAGAAAGAGCCTGACCCTAACTAAGCAACACTAAAAACCTAGTGTGATCTCAAAAAATAAATAGGAATATTTTAATATTGACAAAAAATAGCCTACTCAAGGATGCAGCATCAACCTTCCCCTGTTCTGCTGATATCCAGTACTTTGGTACTTTGCAAATCAGTCACACATGTTAAGAAGCTGGACACCCATGGTACTTTTCTGAGACAAAGAAACCTCACCACAGATCTTGAACCCATCTTCTCTTTCACATCATATTTGGAGGGAATATCACATAAGGTGAAGAACACCACAGCCAACAGGCACAGCACATCAGCCTGCTGAAGGCGGGATTTCTGAGAGAAGGAAAGGTCCACAACCAAGGTGTATGTCTTTTCTTTTTAATGAATCAGGCCTCTTCAGAAGGGAGGGTTGATTTTTCCTCTATCACTGTTAATACTAATGTGGAGATTTAAGCTGGAGGGAAAGCCAACCATTAAAAGCCACGACTATAAATATAAATGTATTATTTAAATGTCTTATTTCCGGTAGAGTAATTCATATGCCTTATTATGTGACTTGACGTTTAAAATACTGAGCTACCCCTAATTCTCCCACTTGGCCCTTTTATTTAAAGCAGATTCATTTTTAAAAGCAATAGCCATTTACAACCAAAAGCAAAGTCTGTAGATCTCTTATAAGTAGTTACGGTATGGTTTTTAAAATGTCTGTGCTCACTAGTTTTATTTATCACAGAAGAAGGAAGCTGAGAGACCAGCGTCAAATCCTCGACTTGTATTAATTCTGGGGAAAGTGGTGATTTAGGGGGCTTTATACACCCAGAAGAATCTCCAGATTCTTGTTTGCATTTCTTGCTGCGAGCCTTTCCTGAAGACAAAGTTGAGGATAACAGTGCAGGTTTCTGAATGTTGGCAGAACTGCTAATATCAGCTTCATTTTTTTTCTGACTTTGTGGTTTAGGTGAAATCTCCTGAATAAATAATAAAAAATTGATACTTTTATTTCAGTTTCTTCGCTGTAGTTCTTGTATTCTATTTTGATCTTTTTAAAAGCAACTTTAGTATTCAAAGCACATTTTAAAGCAACATTATTTTCAGTACAAATGAAAGCTATTTAAAATGCATCACATTAAACTCTTGCTTGTAAAGGAGCACTATCAAGTATTTTCAGTATTCAGAACACCCTCATTTCTTAGTATTTCTAATACCTGCAAAAAAGCCTGAAATCAAACATTTTTCCTCTACTCTCACTTGAAAAATTCAACAAAGAAGAACTGTCTCTTTCATCTTTGGTAGACCAGGACTGTCAGTGCTGTCTCAAAACGTAACTTGGAGAACACTTGTTACAAGTGTACAAGTACACTGATGTACAATCACAGAATATCTCTAGTTGGAAGGGACCCATAAGGATCATTGAGTCCAACTCCTTGCTCCTCACAAGACTACCTAAAACTAAACCATATGACTGAAAGCATTGCCCAGATACTTCTTGAACTCTGTCAGGCTTTTGCACTGCTACGAGCAAGCAATCCTTGCTCAGAGGATTGCAGTTCTAAAAACAGTTGCCAAGATAAAAAGTTCCTCAGGAAAACTAAACACAGATTTAATGTTTAGCGCAGAACCTGAAAAAGTTGATAATGCTCCTTTAAGGAATGGCTGAAAACAATAAAAAGTTTCCAAATACTGAACAACCTCTCACACAACCCCTTTCAGTGCTGGGAGTCTGGATTTCATCACATTATATGTTTGTGCAAACAGAGGAAGAAATCACAACTTCTAGCACCACAGGGTTAAACAGATTTCTAACTGTTGGGAAAAATGAGCAGATAAAGAGTTAAAACAGTTTTTGAAGGGGGGGGGGGGGAAGAGACAAAACCCAACACATAATGCAGCCTTCCAATTTCATCAATTTTCATCCTTCTTAACACACATAGTGAAAGTATTATTTCAGACAATTAGCATGCATTGACAGACACTAGCATTTTGGATTTTTAAGTGGATGTTCTTCCTACTTTACTGAATAAACTGTGCATGTGTTATAGCCTGCCCAATAACGGCAAGCTACAATATCTGAACACAGTTTCTTAAACCTGTCCCCTTTCTTGTCCCAGTTACATCACACAGCATTGTACCATCTAAATAAAACCAGAACAAAGTGGAAAGAACAAAGTAGAAAGATATTTCTAGAACGTGTGCACCGCTTTATCCAAACTAAAAAGTCACATCTCTGAGGGCCTGAGGGTATTACTGGGTTTTGTTATAAATCACAGTTTTATTTCCCACTGGAAAATTTCCAATGGAGAAGAAAAAAAATAAATAAATAAAAAAGGGCAAACCAAAAACCCACAAGTGCACATTCTATGTCTGTAAAAGGGCACCCCTGAATGCTGCATGAATAGCTTGCTGGAAGTATCATGTAAAGATCCGGTGCAAAACATCCCACATTCAGCAGGCATCAGTTCTACCTTGAATAACTCAATTACACATGGACTAAGTGCAGTTTATTCCATGAACTGTAGAGAATACCTATGCTGGTTATGAGAGGTATTACCAGAAATTAATTAGAGTCGTAACTTGTAAATAAACAATTTTATTGTTCATCTTCACAGATGTGAAAGACATTACTACAGCATCCATTACTTTCAAATTACAAAGTTATTTAAACAAGATTAAAAAAATTAAATTAATATTTTGATAAGGTGCTTAACCTCTTAACAGGACAAATTAACATTAAAAACCTTAATGAAGTAATGTTATTCATCTAATCAGGTCTTGGTCCAAAGGAAATATAACATGACATACCCTAATACAGTTAAATAAACTACTGTATCTGCAACTAATCGTCTGAGGTTTTGGGTTTAAGACAACTGTAAACTAAAAATATATAAATAGAAACAAAATCAACTTCCATCAACAAAGTCAGTTTTCGGCTATTGGCCTGAATACTTCTACCATGTTCTGTATGACAGTATTAAAAAACCCTACAAGATCTTTTACCCATTCAATTTTATAGCAATAGCAGACAAAACCTCTAAGGAATGTCAGCTTTGCTACTGGAAAACCTTTTGGGAAGGTTTTAACTCGGCCATTTTAATTGGAGTTTGGGAGGAACTCAGTGAAAAAAGCTTCAAGCTCAAAAATTCTCCTCCCCACGGTTAATCATGTAAATGTTTGTGAGGTTTCTGGTTTTAGTTGGAAGCGAAGGAATAGGACAATTTGGGATTTTCGATGCCTCTTTAAAGGAGCTTCCTAAGTATTTCCAAAAATGAGGTTTTTCAGACCATTAGCATGTAAACAATCACAGAGACATCTTTTGTATATCTAATCAACAAAACAGAAACAGCCGAGTTACTAAGTCTAAGAAGTAACAAAAAGTGTTTAGTAAATATGCACTGTAGTTTATACTGTTGCATACACAGTCTATGTAAACCACAAAGTCCCATTCACCGCAATGGGATTCTGCATGGTAAGATTTACATTGTAATGAGTCTTCCAAAAACAACATGCTGTAAGCCATTTCACAGTTTTTTGCACATTGAAAATATCACACACAGTAGCAATAAAAAAATCATAGCATCTTTAATATGCAAAAAATTGGAGAAATGGAATGTCATGTCAATACATTGTAAACCTTTATGCAAAATATCAGTCAATGCATTGACACCGTAGTGGCTCGGTTCGCCGTTACAGTGACAGCATTAAAAACAGAAAACCATGTTCCATTGACAAGGCCAATGGAAAAACCACAGCAATGCAATTATATATCAGCTCTAAAGAACCAGTACAACCAAAATAGCAAATAAAGTTTGGGGTAGGGACTGTTCATAGAGTGTGCCGGGGCTTAAGAACAGAACTGCTCTTTTAAAGAATTGCGGGCAGCAAGGCTGGTTTACTCACATGCTGCTGTTAAAGAAGAATGAAAATGAATACAAAAAAGCTGTATTAAAACTACATTAAGGCTCTGATTTAAATCACTGGAAAACAAAGATGTCCTGAATCAAGACTACTTGTTCATCCTTAGCTTGCTTTACCATGCTTAGGCATTCAGCCCTTTTAATATGCAAGATAATGCACAACTCGGAGTCAAGCAATGCCTGAACACAATGGAATAAGCCAAAGATAAAATGGCAGCCTTCAGGTCCTGCAAACATGCAGGTTTAAAAATCAGACCCTTAACATTATTTAAAAGTTTCTTTTTTGTATTTATTAAAATACACACCCTTGCAAAACGTATGGCTCATTGAGCAGTTCGTAAAACACATACAAGCCTACAACACCAAATTCTTACAATATAAAAGAAACTTCCTTTAAAAGAAGTTCTACATGATGTCAAAAACCCTGTTTCAAACACAAATTTAATTTGTGTAAGGGCCTTTTCCTAAGCCAGTCATGGTTCCAGCTATAAAACTGGACCCTGGGACACTGGTCTCCTCACATTTGTTGCATGGAGACTTCATTTTCCTGTTTCCTGGGGTTTCTTTAAGGCCAGGTTGGACAGAGCCTTGAGCAACATGGTCTAGCATGAAGTGTCCCTGCCCATGGCAGGGGGGTTGGAACTAGATGATCTTAAGGTCCTTTCCAACCCAAACCATTCTATGATTCTATGGTTCTCTAAGTTTTCTAACACAAAAGCTCATTACTGAAATTCAAGTCAACACTGTGTTTAGAGACAACTAAATTCTGTACTTCTGGCTCTGCCAGAAATGTAAACATAAGATCAATTTTCAGTTCCCTGTTATATCTGAAGGGGCAAATTTTAATGTTGTAGGTACTATATCTCCATGGCACACTCCAGTGGGAACTTTGCAAAAGAATCAAACTCTACCATTTCATACCTGCTCCAGGACTGGAGCTGTTTCTTTGTTGCCTTCCTTTTTTTCAGCACCATCCGCAACAACAGCTTTGGATGCCAATAAACCTTAGGAGAGAAGTTGCAAAGATTTAGAGTTAGAAGCAGCTTGCAACAAGAATCTGTGGAAAACAAAGCAAAACAGTGAGACAAGAAATATGAACTGCTTATATCTACAATGTAATTCCCTCTGAAGCAGCTCCACATAAAACTGAACAATTTAAATTAGAAGAAACAAAAAGTTAAAGGACATTCCCATAATGGTGTCCTTTCACAAGAGGTACTTCTCTGGTGTTTCCACTAAGAAGATGAAAATATAAACTGTAAAATAATGCCTCGGCATCATTCTGCAGCCCAAACACTTGGCCTTTAAAACCAAGCCTATGATATGTAAGTACATTTTGAGAGATTAAAATTATTTACAAGACTTTGCTATCTCTCCCCTTTCCAGTCTTTAAGAAATTCATATTACTACTTCTTAACACATACAAAACCTTTCTTAGACAGAATACAACAAAGATTTTAATTTTCAAATTAATAGTCAGCCGTGGTGCTCCCAAATTACCTCAATAACAAGACTGTATTGGGAGCAAATACATCAGAATATGTCACTTATTCATAGGCTCATACTATATCACTATTACTACAAAAGGAAATAAATCCGTAAAGGATGAGGCAATATAAACTCAAGAAAGTTTGTTGTTGGCCAAGCATATAGCAATAGTTTCAGTTCTGCTTCACACAATAACTTCAGTTACCTAAGTATGAAGACAAAGTTCTGTGCCATAAGACAAAGCACAACTGATAAAACCTGAAAAACACAAATCTGAATAAAAGTTACTCTACTAATCCTTGGGAATGCCAATATTGGAGGTGGAGAATTTAAGTTCTCAAAAATAACCTGATTTGACAAATGCACAGGGAATTCCTATTGCTTTCCATGAAAAATTAGATATGCTTGAAATTAATTTACAGTGCACGATGCCCATGGAACTATAACTTAGAGAAGCCTGTAGGACATTAAAAACAAGCACACACAAAAAGCTGTGGTATTTTGTTAGACAGCTATTACATTTCAGCATTCCACAATAAATGCTAGGTGCTTTGTTTCATTTATTCTTTATGTTAGAATAAGTTATGCTTCAGTTCACTGGAAAGTAGTTATGTTTTAAACAAAACTTTTTCAGAACACCATGTCCCCAAGAAAAGGTGTAAACTAACTGATTTTACACCTAAATAGGTTAACTGAAAAGCAGAAACTTACTTAGCCCTATTACATCCATATGAATAAAACTATCAGGTAAGATACTAATTCTCCATCAGGCTTCATAAAAGATTTAGGTTTTATGGACCTAAATAAACATTTGTGACTCAAATTATCTGGTTGAAATCAAGTTGCAAAATTAGCAATGTTCTTCATATTGACAATCATGCATCTACACTAAAAAGGATGAAATAATTATCTAACTAAAGTGGAGTTTTAAATACTAAACAACAAACTATAGTCTATAAGGCAGCTTTTGTGGTTCTACAATCCACAGGCTGCCCAGAGAAGCTGGAGCTGCCCCATCCCTGGCAGAGTTCAAGGCCAGGTTGGACACGGCTTAAAGCAACCTGTTCTAGTGGAAGGTGTCCCTGCCCATGGTAGGGTGGTTGGAACTGGATGGATGAGCTTTAAGGTCCCTTCCAATCCCAACCATTCTATGATTCTATGATTTTTATTTCCAGCTTGATGCTCTGTGCTCAGAAAGTAAAGCCATAAAATGAGCCCAGAATCTGTCAAGCCTGTGAATACATAACCCTTCTTATTTTCTTCTTTTCTACCCCATTAAGTATCTTTCTAGCCAATTACCATGTCTGTAGAAAGACAAAACAATTCCACAATCTACAACCTCAGCAGAGCTACAGGTTCACCATCCTCTGTCAGTAAACACCACCTAACAAATAAAAAGCATGTGGTGGCACAGTGAACTAGAAGTGTTCTGTAAGGTTGCTGCAGATGTTAGCTGTTCTTCCAGGTATCAACACTGCAGCAGGAGATGTGGAAGCAAACATTCCAACAAAGGCAAATCTAATTTGAAGAAGACATTAATACACGCTTAGCAGGTGATATCCTTCACCTTTTGGGAAATACAATTTCCCCCAGTGGCAGTAGCAGAAGAAAAAGGAACAAAGGAGCTGTGTCCCTTGTGGTGGAAAGGAGAACCTTCTGCAACAATTACTGAATGCTGAAATGACATCCAGAAAGCAGTACCCTTCAAACAGCCTCCTACAACCACATTATTTGCTCTATTTCCCCAAAACAGCCATAAGACATTTGGTAAATGTCTGTTTGCCTAACAGCTACAATGCTTTATCATTCTTCGGTAGCCATTCTGATGGGTAGACCAGCACAAATCCCAACCTTCCCTCAAATCTAAAAACTCATCCCAGAGACACAAATGACAATTTACAAGTACTTCAAGCATAAGAAATTAGCATGTAGCAAGGGAAAGTTTGATCATCAGCAGTTACATTCGCAAAATACTTCATTATATGCAACAATAAAAACAACTACTACGGTGCAAGTTGCAAAAGTGCTATTTTGAGAACAGTTAAGCAAAGTAACTGCCAAGCATGAGAAATTTCATCTTGTAATTAGAGAGGATTAATTCACTTTCACTGAAAGTTAACATATTGTCTGCTAGCGGAACATGATTTCATAGATAGACACACTGTTTTTAGAATGGCTGCAAGATTATGTTTACTGACTATTAAGTTCAGTCTACGTGAGCCTGTCTGACTGCTATTATTCTCACAAAGCTCCTTAGGAAAAAAGAATGTATCCACAAGCACATAAAAATATCATTTCTAGGGCCACAGTTTTTTCAGCTGGTTTAGGTATCTTCTGCTACTAGCTGCTAAAGGAAGGAAATTAGCAGGGAGATAGATATATATATACATACACATGTATATATATATGAATGTACACACACTAGTGACACATATTTACAATCTTCTACTGCTCATGGCAGCAATTAAATTGAGACTTAACTGAGGATGTATACAGTATGGGCAAAGGAGCGTAGCAATGAGGCTGATAAATCAGACACCCGTTAACTAAACTTGGTACCAAGTAAGAAGCCTTCCAGGGAAGAAAATCCTGGTGGCAGAAGACAGGCTCTTCTGAAAGCTGCTTCCTTCATATCATGTTCCATACTAGCCCATTTCATTTGTTTTCTCCTTTAGACTGAAGTGCTGATTAAGACAATGAAACAGAACCAGGCTCATAAGAAAACTAAGTGTCCTCCACTGCTGACCGATGAAAGGTTGGACCAGCCAAAACAAATCTGAGAACCACCTCATCACACAGCTTAGTAAATCAGGAGGGTTTTTATCTTACAGAAACAACACTTTTTCTATGAAGGACCATACCTTATCTACTACAATAAACAAACCAAAATAACCCCTCTCATCTGTAGCATAGAAGTTTGCCAGACTTCACACAAAACAGTAGTTACTAGGATAATGAGTGGGATGCACTTGTACCTTACCATCTGTCCAAAGGCCCCTCTGTTACAGGGGGAGGACTTCACAACTTTTTTTCACCCATCTTTTGAAATGCATCTGATACTTCCCCAACACAGGTGCAAACATGTTGCCTCATCCTAAACAGTGACAGGATCAATGCTGGCAGCACAATTTGCTTATTGGGAGGCATGGGGAAGGAGGGCTACAAACTGAAATAGTTTTTTCCACTGTTAACTAAATTTCTATTAAATTTTGGAATAAAATGCATTTTCCAACTTGTAAAGATAAGGCCAATTATCTATTATTTCATTTCCTGTTATATAAAAGGTATTCTATAGCTGTATACTTGTTTTCCATTTATACTTTTGACTAACAAATGTAGGGAATGAATGCCTTGAAACACTGAAAAAAAGTTGAAACTCTGCATTGCTTCGATTTGTAGCTAGGCTTGTACACTTTTAAAAGATAATCCTGTAAACTCTTTCCAGCAATAGTTGCACTTTATGACAAACTGACAAAACATCTAGTTTTTCCACAGCCAACAAAAGCTTTACAGTGGTTATGACCCTGTTAAGAAGTTGGACAACCCCCAAATTCACCCTAAAGTGGAGAAAATTGTGCAGCTGGAGTTAAAACCTACTCAAGAAATCCATCAGTTCAGGATGGCTACCTTCCTAAGAAACAACAATTATGAACTAGGTAGATTAACCTTTATGTCTCCCTCTTAAATTGCTAACGAGTAAAAGACTGTAGTGAATATCTGTCTCATGGATGTGCTATTATTGATCTACTTCAGTACCTTAGACATAAACATGTATATTTCACTCCATTAACAAAGGAAAAAGTCAACAACAAAAGAAGTATTTTACCAGTGATCTTGTTAAGACGAGCTCTCTTTGCCTGAAATGAGTTGCCTAAATTACTTTTCCTCTTGTGTGATAACGTGCTCTCTGCCTGCACAAAGGCCATCTTTGGAACATCCACTACAGGAAATCCTACTATTAAACAGAAGAGAAATCTAATAAACTCACATTTCAATAAATACATAACACCACCAACACTTCAGTATTTCAGAATTGCTATTCAAATACTGCTGTAAAGAAACTTTAAAACTCTATTAAAGATGAAAATTACACAGTGTTAAGATGCAGTATTACACAATGAAGCATTAGATGCAGATTACCTCAAAAATGCAATTTTTACTCAATATATGAGAAATCAGTATTAAAGACTTAAAATGAACAAATTCTAATCAACCCAGAAATAGTATCAAACATCCCTAATTATGGATATATCATCCATATTGGTTTGGGGGCTTTTTTCTTAGAACAAGATGAGGGATTATCTTACAGGTAACAAAAGATGCAGGAACATGAATCAAAGTGTACAAAGTCATTTAAAACCCCCTACGTTATACTCTTGTTAGAGCTAGTAAGAAGTTTCTACACAAGGAGTAAATGCTAACCAAACTAGATTTACCTGATAAAAATTGCTTCTGAACTGATCAATGTTACGCATGACAAAGCTATCATAACAGCAAATGGACATCTTCCTCTAGAAATACTACTTATGACTTCATTGCAAAATTAACAACAAGAATTCTACTTCAACATTATAGAAAAACCTACTTTTATCTTTCACAGAATTTGTTTTTACCAAATGTATCACTAGATGTAGGCTCCTCTTCCTTTTTTTGGACTTCCTGCATGATTGTAGAAGTTGAGGTTTCTTCCTTTTTTGAAGGAACTTTTAGCCATTTTCTGTCCTCTTTATCTTTATTGCTGTTTGCGCTGGTTCTAGGTTTACTTCCTGCTTTGTTCTTGGCTGCTGCTGCAGCAGCAGCTTTGACCAAAGCTATCCAATCCTCCAAAAAGGAAAAAATGGTAAGTAAGTATTAAAAAGTGCCTGAGATTCAAATAGAAAATACTTATAAACCCCGTGAAACTTCATCTAGAAATGTTCAAGAGCAGTTGAATGTCTTTTTAGGGTTACTACTCAAAGGGTGGTAAAACGAGTTTCCCAAATTGCCTACATAAACTTGAAGTATTATCAGTATGCCACATGGATAAAAAGCAAAAAGAGAAAACCTTCAAAAAAACCATTGTGTATAAAATTGTGGCTGCACATGTTCCCTGCTATCTATTTTCATGTGTCACAGCTGGAGAAACCCAGGAGTTCCCAAACCCACAACACTGACTTTGTTCTTACCCTTCTGGCTGTGAAAATACACCAATTCCATTGTTGCTCAAATTTAACTATTATTCAAAAGCACCATCAACTCAAAGCATGGTCCAGCCAGCTGCATGATTGGGCAGAGTTTTTCCTAAATTCAGTTGATAAAGCAGGGGCAATTCTTATCTAATTGTACCTGTGTTTCTAAAGTAACTACAGATAGGACTCTTTCTGTGTACATATTACAACTTTAATTCAACAATTTCAATAAAGTGCTCTATAATATGACTGAGTTTCACAATCCACATTGAAAGTAATCAAAGTGCCATTTTGGACAACGCTTATTTGACCATACAGAAACATTCAAAGAGTAAATGACAGAATAAACAGCCCAAATTAATTTACTTTTTGGCATGTAGATGAAGTCTAGCCACCCTCGAAGTCAATGGAGAGAACTAAGTATTCCCAAAACTGAGCCAAGAAATTTCCACTATGGAATAATCAGACCCCTGCCTTATGTCTCCTGAGTGTCAGGGATCAATGTGATGGCAAAAATTTTAACTCGATCCTTTTTACCAAAGTAATTTTCGAGATTTTCTATAACATGAATGCTCAGAATTTTTCCATGGAGAAGTTGTATGTGATATAAACACCAAGAGCAATGTTCATCCTCCACCAGCAAGAATTAAGCATCTGAGTGGTCTGAACAATAATTAATTTACCACTTGGCGATTTGGCTACAAGAGCATTTAGAGATTTGTTCTGCCACATATAAAAAAGATATAATAAAGACAATATTTGCTTAGCTTCACATGTGCACTTTATAAATAGGGGTTTTTTTTCCCCAGCTGCAGACAGACTATACTTTATGCTGGATTGTTTCCTTGTTGTTATCATATGAGTATCTTGATTTTATAAACCTTGTTTCGACACAACTCTGTCCCACTCATTACACGTTGTAAGTCTTCCCAGCTTCTGTTCTACTGAGGGTTTTTTTGCCTTCTTTGATGTATGAGAAAAGCATAACACAAAATATAGAGCATTACTTTTCCTCATTTTATGCTTTTCCTTTCCATACCTCAATGCTTTTTAATCACTGCTTTACATAGGTTATGCTTCTACTTTGCATCAAGCTATGTACTTAGAAACACCAACAGTTTTGGTTCCTCTAAGATCAAGTGTTTCGTGTCCAAACTGTCAGTGCAAGATGCATATGCTCAGTCTAGCTAGCAGCAGCAAAGTTTGGAAGTGCTGTGGCAATGCTTACACAACAGGCAACTATCAAGGTCATTTAGTGATGTGCCAGCCACAAAGAGCGTGTTTAACTGCCAGCTGCATAGTCAACCAGAAATACACATACCTGGTTTTGGCCAGCAAAACAAGCACACACGTTAGCTCCAGTCCATCCAGAGCCTTGCCCATCCAGCAGGACAAAAAAAGGATTGAGCTATTTGTGCTGGTGAGGAGTTAGGAACACCTGAGAGTAGAAGTCTTACACTGTACCCTGGTCAAGGGATGAAGAGGATCAGTAATATGGCTGGAGCTTGATCGTATGATAAAAGTGGGAAGCAAAGGAAGTGCGGCCTGCATCAAAACAGCACTTTTATTTTCAGTCAAGCTAAGCACCCTGAAGTCAGAAGCTTTCAGAAGACATCAAGCTTCAAGGAGCACGCTGAACTAAGCATCCTGTTCCAGTAGTAGCTGTTCTGGTGCAACATGAAGGAGTGTTTTTGTTTGCATTGTATTTCATTGTTTGGATACCTTCCTTAAGACATGGAGCTTACAAAGGGCAGCAGGACACAAAACAATGAAGCAAACAAAGGTTAAGCATCCAGAAGCCCAAGCAGTGAGACATTAATTATGGTGATAGTTATACTTTTTTCCTAGATTAACATGTAAATTTGAACTCAGTGAAGAGAACCTCGAGCAGGGGGTGAACAAAATTATCTCAAGAGGTCCCTTCCAACCTCAACAATTCTGTGACTCTGAATGGACCAGAAAGCCTCTGGCTCCATTTTTATTTTGGCTCCAGAGTGAACACACACTCATTACAGTGACACAGGTAATTCCTGCTTTTTAGCCTTGAACTCCTGCTGCGTAACTGCTCACCTGCACAGCTCCTGATGTGCGAGAACTATTCAGCACCTAGGATGCTAAAGGTGACTACATTTCTTTTGAAGAGCACAGGAACTTGTCCTTCAAAAAGATATGTTGTGCCTTTTTCAGAAGTTTTAGAAAGAAGTAAGAAAATAACAGTGGGAGCCTAAAGCACAATGAACTCACGAATCTGGCTCAGTCATTAAGATATCTACTCTGTCAACCACTACAGCAGGACACTAAGTATAGCAGATATCACAGAAACTAGTTGTAAATCTTTCGTAGCAGGACTTTTCCCCAGAGCACTCAGTATACACAAAGCCAAGGGCCCAAATATGAACATATTAGAAATTAAGTAAAGTAAAAATCCTCCTAAGAGAAGTTTTCCCTACTCCTCCCTCATGCCTTAACATTGTTCCTCTATTGGCTGTGGTTTTGTAACTGCACTAGCTACTCTGCGCCATCCAGCCTGATTTCCCACTTCCCACAGGATCTCACTCCAGTGAATTTCTCATTTACATATATCATAAAAATATAAATGTACATTTCCCTTTTTTATTCTCACTAAAGGTCACCTTTCAAGTAAGCTGAGAAAATTGACAGGAGAGAAGTTATGGGACACTGCAGTTAGAAGACAAAACATTATCACTACTGAGGAAAGCTGTCATTTTGCTTATTAGATTCACTAAATCAAAGCATAGGAAAATGCACGATCAAGAAATACGTTAGTAGAAATTACCCACAGCCTTACACATCCATTGGCTACAACACTTGTATTTTAAAACATTCCTTCGTAGAACTTTAAACCTACAACAGTGGGAAGGCAAAACCAGAATAATTTCTAAAATCCAACTCTTGTACCAATAGCAGAATTGCACACACACTCTCCACCTGCCTACAACCACCACCTTTGTGCTTCTCTACAGTACTAAAGATTCAACTGGTTTTCCTCTCCTGACACATCACAACTCCCAGCTCCCACACACTCATCCATACACATATATAAAAACATCATCAATCTATTGACTGGCTGATTCCACAGCAAGCCTGGATTCCTCACCTTCACCTTCCAATTCTAAACAGTCTGCCCCACCTACATCTTGGCTCACATTGTCTCCTGTCACATCTTCTTGTTTTCCTCTGTCCCAATCGCAAATCCATGCTTTTTCCTCAGCTTCCTCTTCCTGTGTGCCAAGTCCCCTCCCTCTCCTTCAAAACCCTCCTCAAAACTCACTTCTTTTGGTTCGATTTCCGTCACTAATCTCAGCTCCGGCGCTATCTGCTCCCTCTCGCGCGCCTAATTACATCGAAGATAAAACAAAAAACATGAAACAGAAAAAGTAAGTTATCCGAATACTTCACATGTGCTCTCACAAGGGCAGTCTCAATACCCCCATCCTTTATTTTCTCTCTCTACGTTAGCCACATTTGTGTGTAGTTTCAACAAATTTGCGCTTATCTGCACAGCAACTTAACCTATAGCCTCATTGCATTGAACCACACAAATATTTTCCAGTCTTTAATCCATCCTCACAGCTGAGTCTTGATAAAACACACTTCTGCTGAAACTCAAATAGTTTGAGTGTTACAGTGTTTACAATCTTTTCCTTTAAGACACGCTAAGCTCAAATCAAAGAATTAACTAGTCTGTATGTCTCCATGTAATTCAAATTCTACATGCTTAGCACACACCTTCCAAACAGATCTTACATTAGAACTTCAAGTACCTTAAGCTTACACTTATCTCTTGAGATGTATTTTTGTTTTTCGTTGGAAACAAAAACCCCAAGTCATAGGTTTAAACTAAGAATGAAGTGTTAGATCTGCCAACTTCACTATTTTGCAAATCAAGTACAGTCCTGGCATTTTTTTTTAAGCTTTAAATGATTTTTAGTAAATGTCCTTATAAAATAAATAATGCAAAAAAGCAACAACAGCCATTTGAGTTCTACTCTTAGACAAAGCTCAGTTTCAGATAACTTGATTTTCAAACCAAATCTTCAATTATTTGTTAGAACTAGATGATCTTTAAGGTCCCCTCCAACCCTAATCATTCTGTGATTATGATTTTATTCTTAAATACCACAAAAATATCTTTAAAAACAAACTTTTACCACAGCAAAATGATGTGTGAAGTGTTGCAGAAAAAAGTATCTTTGCTTTTGAAAGCTGCAGAACTTCATGTCTATCTCTAATTTTGCAAAATCAATCTCAGAAAGGGCAAATTTGGCCCCCTTGTTCTTTCTCGAGACTTCATTGAAGCCCCCTACATTCAGCCCCTGAGATGCATGAGACTGACACCCTAACTTTCAACTACTGAGAAAAATTAGAAAGAGCAGATGAGCTGGGCTGCCACCAAGCACGTTTGGACATCAAAATAATTGCTAAGAAATGGATTTACTATTCTTTTTAAAGCTGAAAATGCCTGTGGCCTAAGAGTAGTAACTCAAGATTAGACACAACATCGCTCCCTAGAAAAAGCACAGGACACAGTAAGGGACTTCTTTACATTGTCACAGAAGGGCTATTTCAGTTCAGTCACAACCACATTAACCAAGTCTTCCTTTTCATGAAGTAAAATTATATACTCTAGCTTCCTATCTTACTGTCATACTAAAAGCATTATTGAAATATTATATACTGGTTCAATAGTTCTTGTAAGACTGCAGCAAGAAGCCAGTGTTAGTGTGACTATGGATTTCAGTTTAATCTCAGTCTTCAATGTTGTTTTCCTTTGCAAGTAAAGATATTCCTAGTGACTAAATTATGTACTCCACAGCCTCCCTCAGCTACTACTCAGCATCTCTTCTTTAAGCAACTGGACATTATCAGAAATAAAGACATATGTAACTGTCTGAATCCCCAAAAGTTCTGATACAAGGGAGAAAACCCCCACAGAACAGTCATGTCAGTAAGAACATGTGGGCAAAAAGCTACCACAGTAGCAAACAAAAGAGATGGGGTGAAGAAATAATAATAATAATAAAAACCCAGCAGCACAGACTACTGACAAGCTGTAGCTTTTTACTGGGAGGACACCAAAGGAAAAAGTCTCTGGATGCCCCTGGTTTTGTGAACTCTGCAAGACGAAACTCTGGGAACAGATTAGTTGGCAGTGGAGTGTAGGGCAGCCAGGCATTTCAGATAGAGACAAGCCTACTCGAGCAGCACACTCTGGGGCATCATCCATAAAACTGGTGAAGCAAGGCAGTGCAGGACCTAGAATAAAGACTATAATCTAAAACTAGACATTTTTTCTATCTCAAGTTATTAAAGAAAAAAAGAATCTATATAAAACCTAACAAAGAGATACCTAAATTATTCTTACCTGTCCTTTTGCATCCTCTGGCATAGATTTGATATGCATCCTCTTAAGACATCGAATAACACCATCATAGAACTGTACTGTGAAGGTTCCTAGAAAAGGAGTGATGTAATCATTATGAGTAGTTAAGAAACAAAACACACCTTGTTACTATGAAAGCTTTAGCAAAATGTTTGGAGGCTGGATGAACACAGTAACCAGGTGTTACCTATAGTCAGGATATAGAATTTTAAGATAAAATTGAATCTCAATGAAACCTTGTTCTTCTATCATTACTCTTTACCCATTTGGACAATTTCAAGCAGGTTTAAGCTTCTGTGTCACGTTTGCTTGTAATTCATTGAAAGAATTATGTCACATTTAAGTCGCCACAATAGGAAAACAGTTCGATTTACAATCAAATCCTCATTTGCTTTAAACTACAGCAAAAACTTCTACTAATGCTTATTACAAATATCGACCATTGTGAAATATTGTATCTAAAGTGTTAACCTTTATTTCCCTATTTCCATGGTTTTTCGTCAATAAACAGAACTTTAGAGACCTACCATTACTAAAACAATTATGAACATAAAGATAACATTATTATATACTAGAATCAATACATTATATAACTAATATATATCATGTAGTATGTGATATACAATATATATTGTATATAATATAAAATGTATTATAATGTATTATTTACTATATATCTTTAGTTTTAAATCAACAATAGTACAAAAGTATTTGGAACACTGTGCACAGGACATTATTCTCACCACTGAGGAAACATAAAGCATTTTTTCTTCTAGAAGAAATACCTGTTTCCCAATTTTACACAGATAAAAGTCAAAGCTCTAACTCAACTGCACAGAGTAGAAACATTTTCACTTAACATTGAGGCAGTGAGAAAAACTATATATGCCTGGCACATAAACAGACTACAGCTACAGCATAATATATGCAAACAGTCCTTACCAACAGACCATGCACAAATAGGACATACCTTCTTTATTAATTGCTTCAATCTTTGCAGGGTAATATCGACAGTCTGTCCAACGAGCTAGTACTTCTTCTCCAGGTTTAAAATCCTATTTTATACAAAGTTAGTCATTAATATTTCTAGGAGAAATATCTAAATTATTAAAATAATTAAATGTGATAGATTTAATGTAAGAAAACAGGTAGGGCATTTTACAAAAAAGAGTCAAAGATTAAATAAATGTGCCACTTACAACAAATTCTTCATCATCTTTCAGCCCTTCTTTCCTTAATGCTGGTCGCTCCAAGGGTCGCAACCTATTGCTGTCCCAGTAAATCCACTCATCATAGCGATGACTCCAGCGTTCAAAATGGACCAGCATCTTCCCCTCTTCATAATCTATCTTCTCAATACGAGATGGATACCTTGAATGATAAATTTAAACTGATAAATCTCAAAGCTTTTTATTTTTTTTTTACCTTTTTTGCATAAAACAATGCTTACATGGCATTTTAGAAACCTGTATGAACACCTTGTACTGAGAAATCTCCAAGTGTGAAAAAGATGAAGTTACTAAATTGGTAATAGGATACCATTTAAGAGTTATCTATACTTATCAGTAACAGGTCATCAGCTTCATCCTGGTCAATGATCATACACAGACTTAAACCTCAAACTCTCAGACCAAAACTGCCTGAAACTCGCATTAGAAGTTTGTGCTTATCAGTTTTAAAAACTGTGTTTGTCTAAAGCAAAATCCTGTAAAAGTGTGTGTTTGCTTGGGGGTGGAAAGGGTATAAAAGAGTTTATAATACTAATAGAGCATTCATTACTTTACCATTGACTCTAGACAAATCCAACCAACTAATCAAACCCAGAATGTTCAACAGAACAGCTTCTATGATTTCACTGCCATTAAATTCGGTTCATAGTAACTATTTTTTAGCAATCATTAACTCCACATGCGCTTAAATAAATACGTCAGGATTCTTTAACACAAGGATTTTACTCTCAGCCAACATTGTCTGTGCTCAGCAGAACTAATCAGGAATGAGCTGCAACCAGTACAAGTCTTAGGCATCTCATTTTGAGTGTACCACAGATACAGTTTTGGAACCATAAAGGTTAAGATTACATTTGCAGGGAAAAAAAAGGCAAACTTCTCTAACTTCAGCAATTATTATTCCGTCTCAGTATTTCTGTTTCCCCAAAGTGATGTTTGTAGTATGGGAGCAAGGCACAAACTGGTTCTGTCACACAACTTGCTTCACCAAGATTATTAGATCCTATTATCTCCACTGTATCAAATGCAGAGAATTGAAATGAGGAAGAATTCAGCTTCTGCTGCCTTTCAAAGTACTGAAATGGATTCAAAAGTACAAAGACTCTCCTAAAAGTTAAGTAGATGATCAAGCTTTCTCCAGTTTATGTTAGGGATGGTCTCAAGTTAAAACATGTATTGAAAAGAAAGACCACAGGGAAGGGACACCTGTCTTTCGTTAAGAGGCAACTTGTTTTTCTAACAAAGTGCTACTGTGGAGCAATAGTAAGAGAGCAGAGCTTGAGCACCCAACTTCCAGTCCTACTGCAAATTCCTGCAGCTAGAAACAACTGGCATATACAGGAACCCTGTCAACATTTTCAATATTGAGTACTTTCTCTCCAAAACACTGACAGTGCTGATAAAGGAGTCCTGGACACTCTCTTCTGATTAAAATACAAGTTCTCAGGAAGTACAGGCTTTCCTTATTTCCTAGTGACTAGAACAATGCAACAGAACAAAAGGTGTCAATCTCAATTTGCTCTTCATTTCTCCAGCCATACTTCTTCAGCTGCAGTGATGCATACAGCTTCCCAACATCTAAATACCTCAGCAGTGCCTGAATGAGAAAAAAATCCCATTTTCTAGGTTACTACTGCAACTACTTCAGCCACATTTCACCCTCACATCAGAATGCATAGATAGTCCAATTCCCTGCTGGGTTTCTCTCGTCCACACATTTCAGAAACACAAAATATCTTTATAGCCATTCTTTTAAGTTCTCAACTTCTCACTGAACTTCAAAATAAACTCTTAGTCTCAAACTGCAGATTCTCCTTTGCCACTTTACTGACAAAATCATTCTCAGGATACAACTACTCCATGGGACTTCTGTCAGAGGAGCAACAAGACCAACCCCCTTTCCTTCCTTACTACAGTCAGAAATTTCCAGTTTATCACATGCCAGACAGGTAGTAGTGCAGAACAACACTGATTTTACTAAATTCAGGAATCATCAGCCAAAAGATGGAATTCTCCTTTTCCTAAGCATCTGCAATGCAAATGCTCTGTTCCCATTATGGTGCTACATTTTTAACTGCTGCTACAGACAGCAGCTTTCACCAGGCATCACCAGCAAAGTCACCCACCATTCCTGTGTGTAGAAGACAATAGAAGGGATAAACTAGAAAAATATGGTGCAATTGTCCTGTAAGGAGAAAACTGAGTAAGAGGGGGGAGTAACATATACAGTAAACATACAGTAAGCAGCTGAGCTTAGACATAAATACATAAAACTGGAAATTAAGGAAAATTCAGCAAGCCAAGAATGAAAACATTAATATATATAGGGGAAAAAAAAATAAAAAACAAGAAGAGCAAAGCCAGCATCAGTTAATATAAAAAACTATACAAAATATTAAGTTTCACTAGGAATCACTCAATAGAGGAAATGCAACACCAGATATTTATTGGCGAATTTCTCTTTGATAAATACAATTTCTGCTCTCAAAGTCTTTTTAAAATGTCACTATTGGCTCTAAATCAAAGTCCATTATATTGGTTTTGCACAGTTAAAGCTTATAATAATCATATCACATAATGGCTTTATTATAATAATTTGTTTCTTCAATGTATGTACAAGACAATGGCTGCAAGATGAATAGATCCAAAACCTACATTCAAACTCGGAGATGGAAGACGTAACAAATCTCTGAGCCAACCAAGCTATATATGATTGGTTATTAGACAACCCCAAAATAACTTTATATGGATTTAGCAACAAGCTATTACCCTCAATACCCACTAAATTTAACCACACAATGTGCCACAAATATGTATAAACAACAATATTTCACAATGCTGATCCCACAGTGGAAAAGAGCAGAGCATATATACTGCAGAATTTACTATTACAAATTTCACACTGCGCAGAAACATTTTTCTGGTGTTATAGTTCGAGCTTGTACTGAATATAATCCATTCCATATATTGCGAAGTTATACAAATACTTCAAAGGCAAGTATGAATTTCCTGCTAATAGAAGAGAAAATGGCAACGTATTCCTTTTATCTGCCTTTTTAAAGAATTCTAGTTACAGTGAATACAGGAAAGCTTTGACTGTGGCTAAGAGAAATGTTTAGATTTATTGGGTACAGAGAAGATGAAGATGGTTACAGCTCATACACATGAGAAATTTGATGTAGAAGTCCCTTCCATGGCAAAGCTGCAAGTAGGGATTATGAAGAAGTACTAGAAAGGGGAATATAAACATCACTCCACAGCGCCAAAGGATAACGGGGTCCAAGGTCCTAACAACCTTCCAGTCAGGTCAACTCTCCCCATTCACACCCAACAAGTACCCCACCCTAAGGGATCAGAATGAATTTGGTATACAAACAGATTTGCCAACATTTGTTCAGTAAAAACCAGAAAAACATACTCTAAAAAACTGAGGAAAAAGTCTTTACTTTTCACAGGAAAAAACCTAAACCACACCACCAAACTCCAGTTCAATATTGACAATGCTCTTTTTGTGGGAAGAAACAATAACCTGAAAATTTTAGATGTGTTTTTTTAATAGAAATAATATTTAATAGTCCCAAATAAAGTCTCGTCCAAATTTCAGGGAGTTTTGTTCTTGTTTTTAAGAGAGAACAGGAAAACTATTGTTAGCTGATGGTATCTGCCCAGCTTATGTACTGCATACTCCCCATGCTCAGGTTCCAGTGATTCCAACCCATAAGAATTATGCAACACTTATGCAAAGCTGCAAAATTATGGCTTACAAAAAGTACACTATGAAGCATTGGTCAGACAACAATAATGCTCCAATGTTCATCTAGTAAAAATTAATGGGAAGTGTTCAGTTTTTGTAAGTGTAAAAGAGAAAATACCATTTTCTCCTCCAACTCACTCAACGCATTACCGGCCACATGGATGGCGTTCTTCATTTTTACATCATCTTCCTTTTGACCCTTCAAAAGTGACCAAAAAAGAAGTGAATTGTCCTGTGACGTGGGACAAGTTATTTCAAACTGTAAAAATGGATGCAAAAATGTTACTAAATTTGCCCCAAGTTGGCACCTACAAAGTCTGAAAACATACATACTTCCTGCCTTCACAGTAACAGCGTAAGAAGTCTTTCCTTCCACCTTGTAAATGATACAAACCCAAACACCCTCCATTCTGATTTGTCCACAAACAGCCTTCAGGTATCTGCAAAATCTGTAAACATCTATTTCTACCTCACTTTTAATTACATATATTGTAGTGTATCAATATAAAGCAGTCTTCATAGCCCTTTCAAATACTTGGCTGGCAGGTAACCCAATCAATTGAAATGCCAAAGCAAGGACTGTACAAAGTAAGATTTCCCAAAGTCTTTCAGGACAAAAAGCCTCCTCCATACTAATCTAGCCAAATAATCAAATATACTAAAATCAAAGTGCTATTGCTTTGATAACTAACCTACTTTAGTGAGCTGTTTCCATTCCAGAACTGCACAAAGGGCCATATATCTGTACTTCATTACCTAACTTACAAGTTTAGATCAAGCAGATTAACATAGAATATTGGCTAAGAAAAGTTAACAGGGTTGGTTTTCTCAAAGCAATATCTGGCACTTATGGGACAACCAGTAGAGAACTAGAGCCACAAAAGACAGGGGGGAAAAAAAAGAAGCTTATTTAAAGACAGCAGCTCTAAAAAGGCTGTGTCCTGCTTGTGGGGGCTAACAGCTTAAAAACCAGTCTTCCAAACGGGCACGTACTTGCAGACATCTGCAGTTCTACTGCTGCTTCATCTGCCAGCGAGAGGCATAGGGGGGTGTGTGCACATGTATTAGTTTTTGGATGAGATCATAGGATAATCCAAGTTGGAAGGGACCTCAGAAAGCCTCTTACCAAAAAAAGTCCAACCTCCCACTCAAAGCAGAGTCAGCTATGGGATCAGACCAGGTTTTCCAGAGTTTTAGCCAGACCAGTCTGGAAAACCTCCAATGCAGAAGACTCCACAAACTCTTTGGGCAACCTGATGCACTGCTTGACTGCCCCATGGGGAAAATGATTTGCCTTGTACCTAGCCTGAATTACTTGTTTTCACTTCTGCCAGTTATCTCTTGTCCTTCAGCCACACACTACTGCGGAGAGCTTGGCTAAGTGTCCTTGATGACATTGTTGTAAGTGCTGGAAGGCTGATAGTGGGTCTCCTCTAGCCTTCTCCAAGATAGTTTCCTCACCCTTTCTTCGCAGGTCTTATACACCAGGCCCTGATCATCTCATTTATATTGAATTATTGTCTACTATCAAGTCAATCCCATCTCATTCACTAACAGCTGCCAGATGATCCTGATTTTGATTAGAGCTGCATTTCACAGCTTGCTTAACTGAACTTAAATTCATAGTTGGGGTTGGAAGAGACCTTAAAGCTCATCCAGTTCCACCCCTCCTGCCATGGGCAGGGACACCTTCCACTAGAGCAGGTTGCTCCAAGCCCGTGTCCAACCTGGCCTTGAACACTGCCAGGGATGGGGCAGCTACAGCTTCTCTGGGCACCCTGTGCCAGCACCTCAGCACCCTTACAGGGAAGAATTTCTTCCCTGAATCTAATCTAAATCTCCCCTCTTTCAACTTAAGGCCATTCTCCTCTGTCCTATAACTACATGCCCTTGTCAAAGGTCCCTCTCCAGGTTTCTTGTAGGCCCTTCAGGTACCAGAAGACTGCTATAAGGTCTCCCCAGTCTTCTCTCCCACAGACTGAACAAGCCCAGTTCTCTCAGCCTGTCTCCATAGGAGAGGTGCTCCAGCCCTCTGATCATCTTGGTGGCCTCCTCTGGACTTGCCCCAACAGGTCCATGCCCTTCTTATGCTGGGGGCCCCAGAGCTGAACGAGGTACTCCAAGTGGGGTCTCACAAAAGCAAAGGGGAATAATCATCTCCTCGACCTGCTGGTCACACTTCCTTTGGATGCAGCCCAGGACATGGTTGGTTTCTGGGCTGTGAGCGCACGCTGACAGCTCATGTTGAGCTATTTGTTGACTAACACTCCTAAGTCCTTCTCCTCAGGGCTACTCCTTATCCAGTTTCTGCACAGACTGTAGTTGTCAGGGCCCACGTGTAGGACCTTACACTTGGCTTTGCTGAACTTCATGAAGTTGGCACCAGCCACCTCACAAGCATGTTCCAGGTCCCTCTGGATGGCATCTCTTCCCTCCAATGTATCAGCCAAGCCATACAGCTTGGCATTGTCAGCAAACTTGCTGAGGGCACACTCAATCCCACTGTCCATGTCAGCAACAAAGATGTTGAACAGGATCAGTCCCAACACCAACCCCTGAGGGACACCACACATCAGTGGTCATCTGGACACCAAGCCATTGACCACAACTCTTTGAGTACATTCACCCAGCCAATTCCTTATGCACCAAGTGGTCCATCTGTCAAATCCATGCCTCTCCAGCTCAAAGACAAGGATGTTATGCGGGACAGTGTGAAATGCTTTCTAGAAGTCCAGGTAGATGACATCAGTCACAGTAACAAGTGATTTCATTGTGCAAGATGACCTCCCCTGCAGCAGCGCTCTGGTGCACTCGATGAAGAAGAGACTGCAGTTATGTCCCCAGTAAAGCTCACTGACAGCCTGTCTCTGCTGATCAGTTTGACCAGGCTTTCTTCTGCTCGGTAGTTGCTCATGCCAAACCATCTCAGTGACCCACTGTCTGCAAAAACTACCTCATTTAAAATTACAGGGGTTTTAAGCAATAAATAGGCACACAATACCCTCTCCAAAGTTTCAGAATTCAAATGGAACACCGGATTCCCTGAGGTGAATTTCAGCAAGTACTGCACAGATGAAAATTTAAGACCTGCAGAAGTGCCTCAGAAAGCAAAACCAGACCTTACTACATTTTTACCATCCTCTAGAAGCCTTTCTTGATTAACATTTTAACAGGTCATGAACACTTTAAACGGCAGCAGGCTTTCAGAAAAATGGAGGACAAAAAATAAACCACGTTCAAACATTATTTTTCAGCAAGTGTTCTCAATTCATCACTCATAGAAAGACTGAGCTAAGCAATACTACTGAGCTTCAACTGTGGTTTTGTTAAGAAATAGAAAGAGATTTCATGTGAGTTCAGCAACTTTATTTTCTTTGAAGTATGTATTTTTGCATGCAGATGAGGGGAATGCATACAGCTTATATATAGAAAGAGTTTAAAAAACATCCACCACCCCCCTAAGCAACAGAAGGCTAAGAAAAAAATCGCATGGACTATTATTCCAGCCCGTGTCATCCTAATAACAAGAACACGACAGTGGGCTTTCTCTCACAGGCTCTTTGGTTATGTACATGAGTAGTATTTCATTTGAAATAGTCCTGTTTTCAGTGTTGCTGTAACTGCAAGATTGTAGTATTAACCTCCTGTATATGGCACCACAGAGGTTGACACGCAGATAAACTTTACCTAGTAGTACAGATGAAGAATCAGCTCCTAGAAAGTTAAGGATAAATTCTCTTCTGCCTGAAAATACCAAGTAACTCAGTTGCAGAGCTTAAGACAGGGCCTTGACCAGGCCAAGCCTAGACAAGTACTGCAGAACTGACACCCAACCCTTAAGGCTGGGCAGTCTTGATACAAACTACACACTAGATATTCAGTGATGGGTTTTGGATACAATTAAGCCAAAGCTATTTTTACATATTAACTTTTCTTCTTTAGCTACATTAACTAGTTTTCTCTATTCACAAAAGTTGCTATTAAAAGTTCTATTAAAATTATTCTACCTTTATAGCACTATTCAGCTGGTTTCATGATCCTAGCACTCAGTTATAGAATCAGGATGCTGAAAACCCACTCTACAGCAACAGGTCAGAACAAGAACTGTTCTGTAAACCACACTTCCCTTTAGAGACCATTTATTAAAACACTTTTGCTCTAATTAAAATCACAGCTCTACTGATAAAAAGTTTAACCCAACTCTTTATACAGAGCATGTAACTACTGGAGTAAACATGTAAATAAAACACAGACTTCCCTATCAAGTAACTTGGGAGTTAGCAGGATCAGATATTTACAAGCACATACTTGGCTCTCCAGGAATGCAAGCGAAAAGCAGGTACAGGCTCCTACGTTTCTTAGCCCTAATTAATCAGAGAGCAGCTACAACACTTCTGGGTAGAAGCACCAACTTCCTCTGTCATCTACTTAAAAACAGTGATTCTTCAAACTCAAATAGCATGGCCAGTACACATCATGAGAGCAGCCCACTTATATTAGTACCATTTGGCCTAACAGTGTATTTCAACCTAACAGCTCCTTTCACAACACACATGCTGTGTAGCATGGTCCTTGTGCCCAAATTCCCATGTTAGAGTCTTGACTCCTCCTCACGATATGACTGGGTGGTTCCAGACGCACCATTTTAAGCACTTTGCTTCTCCAACTGTTTGATACAAATGCAGTCGTACTTGCCTAGTCCATGAATTCCAATTAAGGATGTTTTCTTTTGTTAACATCAGTTCTATGAACCTACGGAACTAGATGATCTTTAAGGTCCCTTCCAACGCAAGCCTCTCAATGATTTTAAGTCTGATAACTGAACACAAAAACACATTCACACACACGCCTTGAAACTAAACCTAAGTCTTAAGTCACAGAAGTTTACCACATTAACACACCCATCCTCTCACACATGACACTGCATTCCACACTACTCTGGAAATGCTCTTTGCTTACTACAGTTGCACAAGCAACTAAAAGCAAACAAAGGAAAAGCCATAGCAAAGTTTAGTTTGATTTCTGAAGAGAGAATTTTTCCTACAAGCCAACAGGTTTAATGGACTTATTACACGGAAATTCATAAAGTTCATGTGTGAAGCAGCCAATTAACAGCTGCACAAGATCTTATAACTAGACACCAAAACATACAACATACACAAAGCAATTATGCTCTTAGCACATAGCGTACAAGGTCTTCCATACCATTTCTGTAAATAGTCCAGTGCCTCCAAGCGAGCACCAATCTCAAATGTGATTCCAGGACGATTGGGAGGCTTTTTACTCATCTTGAGATTTTCTTTTTCACTACCTTTGGAGAAAAAAGAAGAAAAAAGGCATATGAGAACACGTAACACTGCCTAAAGCACGTCACTGACAGCAAATATATTCCAGTGGCTGGAAGAAGATGTGAAATTTCTATCCCAACTCTCCACTAACTTATGTTTTCAGAAGTACAGTGAAGGCCCTAAGAAGGCACTAAACCCAGAAGTCGTGTCTCTTCAGTCAGACTTCTTTTCCTTAAAAAAAAAAAAGTCCCCAACGTTAAGTTAAAAAATAAAATAAAAGAATCGGTGTTCTTTTTTTGGAGGTGTACTGCATTGTAAGAACAGGACACCTTTTTGAAGCATAATTTTAAGAGCTATCTGAAGTCAAGGCGCATTCTTTCCTCCGGTGTCGAAAAGGTCAAAACTAGTTAGAACTTACCTCACCAATAATAGAAATTTAAAGATAAACACAGCCTGAAGGGCAAGTAAGACGAAATAAACAAAATAACACAACAAAAAACCCTTTCTATGCGCTCTCAATTCATAGCTAACACTAAGGAAGTTCCGCTCACAGGCGCCTCTTAATGCCTTTCGGTAATTCAGTCCCCATCAAACAAATCACTTCTCTGCCCGACTGCCACCGCTAT